CTAATCTCTCTCCCTCTCTATCTCTCCCTCTCCCCCCTCTCCCTCTCCCTCTCTCCGTCCTCTAATCTCTCTCCACTAATCTCTCTCTCTCCCTCTCTCCCCCTCCTCTCTCTCTCCTCTAATCTCTCTCTCTCTGTGTGTTTCTCTCTCTCCTCTAATCTCTCTCTCTCTCTCTCTCTCCATCATAAATGTGACTCAGTTGCAAAGCGCCTGAATTTTGATCGCATGACCACGGGGATGCCTGCAACGGTCGTTAAGTGTGAAAAACGGTCATAAGTCCTTTTTTTTCTGGAACATGTAACTTTGAACAATGAACAGTTGTAAATAGAGGACCACCTGTATGTACAAGACAGAGCGTATCAATTAATTACGGCATCTTTCACGTTTACGAGAAACATTATGTATTATACGACATAAGGCTGCCATTGTGTACACTGGAAGACTTGAAAGCAACCAGCCGAGTCAATTCCATCCAGTGGTTTTTGTTGCAGATGTGCAAAGCAACTGTTTACCTGAGGAGCAGACCAGATGTTGACAGCCCTTCTTAGCCATCTGAAATTTAAAAAAAAAACAAACAGATTTTTTTGGGTTCGTTTTTCTCTATCATTTCCATTTGTCCATGAAAAACCGAGAAGGGCTTTAGGGAGAGGTGCCAACCAAACCCAGAAGTGACATCACACTCCTGTGCTGACTTTCTTCCAGCTGCCTCTCACCTGTTTCCAGCATGCAGGTGAGTCTCTCACACTTCCTCTCACCCCCTCCTCTCTCCATTGAAAACAAAAAGGCACCCCCAAAAACCAGTGACTCAGGGACATGTCCAGTGGTGAAATCCAATTTTTTTTAAACTACCGGTTCTGTGGGCACGGCTTGGTGGGCATGGCGGGGGAAGAATACTGCAAAATCTCCATTCACACCCCACTCCAGGGGAAGGATACTGCAAAATCCCCTTTCCCACCCCACTCCAGGGGAAGGATACTGCAAAATCCCCATTCCCACCCCACTCCTGGGGGAAGGATACTGCAAAATCCCCATTCCCACTCCACTCCAGGGGAAAGGATACTGCAAAATCCCCATTCCCACCCCGCTCCAGGGGAAAGGATACTGCAAAATCCCCATTCCCACCCCACTCCAGGGGAAAGGATACTGCAAAATCCCCATTCCCACCCCACTCCAGGGGAAAGGATACTGCAAAATCCCCATTCCCTCCCCACTCCAGGGGAAAGGATACTGCAAAATCCCCATTTCTCTCCCCACTCTTTGGAGAAGGATATTGCAAAACCTCCATTCCCTCCCCACTGGGGGAGCCAGCCAGAGGTGGTATTTGCCGGTTCTCCGAACTGCTCAAAATTTCCACTACCGGTTCTCCAGAACCTGTCAGAACGTGCTGGATTTCACTCCTGGACACGTCTGAAAAAAAGACTAGCACATACGTTTCTAAAACCAGGTTTCCCGGAGGCCGAAGGAGGATCTGAGGGGTGTCACCGCAGCCAGTGTGCAAATATGCAAATCTCCCAGGTGACACACAAGTTGTGACCAGAGCCCAGAACATTCCCTGTTGTCCATAAAAACTTACCTGTCCTGCCTCAGTCACTCACCTGTCGGCAAAAATAGCCAATGCCTCGGATTTTGAAGGAGCCACTTGGCTGGACATTCTCCAACTTCATGTAGACTTTGGTTCCGGCCGTTTGTGACAAAGAGACACTTTCCAGCAAAGGCGTCTCAATGTGGAAAGGTTTGTCGAAACCCGCGTCAGGCAGCGTCTCCATTTGGGGTGGGGGGGGGCAACAGAAGCTCCCTATTCAATTCTACAAAAAAAAATCTGGGAGATGGAAGTTTGAGGTTCATCCAAACCTCTGCATTCTTTCGGGTTAATGCTTAATTAATGGTTAGTGATTTCGCTCTTCTTTTTCCGTCGTCTACTTCTAAGGTTGTGCACAATAATATAATATATTGCGCACAATGTATTGTACGATTGTGCATCATGTTTGCTATTGGTATATTTACATTTTTAATTCCCCCCCTCCCACCGTTTTATTGATGTCAGGCACCCAGAGCAAGATTGGCAGCAAACAAATTTAGCAAATAAAATAAAATAAAATAAAATAAATAAGGCTCAAACTTCAAAACTCAAATCATCTTCAATCTCAAAGGTGTCTATTCGGAGGGCCAGCGTTATTATGTGATTATAGCGATAGCACTTGCAGCCCTCTCTAAACGGTTTACAGAATCAGCCTCTTGCCCCCCCAACAATCTGGGTCCTCATTTTACCCACCTCGGAAGGACAGGAGGCTGAGTCAACCTTGAGCCGGTCAGGATATCCTATTGTTATGAAGGCAGAAAAGAATTGGTGTGTGTGTGGGGGGGGGGGGAATTCAGGAAGGAAGGAAGGAAGGAAGGAAGGAAGGAAGGAAGGAAGGAAGGAAGGAAGGAAGGAGGGAGAGAGGTAGTTAGAGAGAAGGAAGGGAGGGAGGAAGGAGGGAGGGAGGGAGGGAGAGATAGGTAGAGAAGAAAGAGGAAAGGAAAGGAAAGGAAAGGAAAGGAGGGAGGGAGAAAGGAAGGAAGGAAGAAAGGAAGGAAGGAAGGAAGGAAAAGGAGTTAATCAGTGAGGGACGGAAGGAGAGAGTTGTAGGGAGGGAGAGAGGAAGGAAGGAAGTACGAAAGGAAAAGAAAGGAGGAAGGGAAGAAGGAAGGAAGGAAGAGAAGAGTGAATGAGGGAGGGAGGGAAGGAGGGAGGGAGAGAGTTGTAGGAAGGAGAGGAGAGGAGAGGAAAGGAAAGGGAAGGAAAGGAAAGGAAAGGAAAGGAAAGGAAAGGAAAGGAAAGGAAAGGAAAGGAAAGGAAAGGAAAGGAAAGGAAAGGAAAGGAAAGAAGGAAAGGAAAGGAAAGGAGAGGAGGGGGAGGAAGATGTCCCAATCAATTCTAGGTCCACAAAAGTAAGAAAAGATCTCAGAAAAGCAATTATCCCTGCATAGCATTTTTGACCCAGCTTTGGGAATTATAAAACTCCATCTGCATTCAAGTCACATTTTCTGACTTTTTGAGTGATACATTCAAACCCAGGGAGGCCATTTCCTAATTTTTATGGTTTTTCTAACCATTTTGGGTTTTTAACAGGTCTCTATCAAGATCAGCCTTTTACCGGCTCCACCTGGAAATACAAGGAAGAAAAAAGACAAGGACCGGGGGGGGGGGCATGAGGAGTGGAGGAGATGTGGGGAAGAAAGCCCCCCACGCCTTCCAAACCAAGAAATCAAACTCCAGCCAGGAGAATTGTTTTTCCCCTCTATGCCCCCAAACCTTCCCATCATCCACCACCAGATGCTCGCTGGGTTTCGGAACTTCTCAAGAAACCTTACTCTGTTTCTTCAAGCCGAGTTGTTTGTTTCCCTTCTTCGGAGGAAGACGACTCTGAACGGGTGAGCAAAGTTTAGGAACGGAGGAGGGAGTCGGAAAAATGCCAAGGATGATGACGCTGTGAGACTCTGTGTGTGTGTGTGTGTGTGTGTGTGTGTATTTGTGGTGTGGAGTGGTGTGTGAAAGGGAGGAAGAGATTGGGAAAGGCCTTCACCAATGCCTTTGAGAACTGCCAAGTCTTTAACCTTGGGTTGATACGACATGTTGCCTTCTCAAGGATTTGCAGAGAGGAGGCAGTTCATTTAACATACTTCTTTTATTTTTCTCTCTCCGGTCATTTTTATTTCTCCCCCCACCCCCACCCCCCAAAAAAGAAAAGATGATGTGGGAGACGGAAGGTTATTTTGATGAGCCAAGAACTGTCTAATATTCTTATGTAAAAGAAGGACTAGGGGAGATGCGATAGCAGCCTTCCAATATTGGAGGGGCTGTCACAAAGAAAGGGATGCGGTGGCTCAGAGGCGAAGACGCTGAGCTTGTCGATCAAGGGTCGGCAGTTCAGCGGTTCGAATCCCGAGTGCCGCGTAAACGGGGTGAGCTCCCGTGACTTGTCCCAGCTTCTGCCAACCTAGCAGTTCGAAAGCAGGTAAAAAATGCAAGTAGAAAAATAGGGACCATCTTTGGTGGGAAGGGAACAGCGTTCCGTGCGCCTTTGGCGTTGAGTCATGCCAGCCACATGACCATGGAGACGTCTTCGGACAGCGCTGGCTCTTCGGCTTTGAAACGGAGATGAGCACCGCCCCCTAGAGTCTGGAACGACTAGCACATATGTGCAAGGGGGGCTGACTTATTCTCCAAAGCACCTGAGGGTAGAACAAGAAGCAATGGGTCGAAACTGATCAAGGAGAGAAGCAACCTAGAACTAAGGAGGAATTTCCTGACAGTGAGAACAATCAATCAGTGGAACATCTTGCCACCAGAAATCATGGGTGCCCCAATACTGGAGGTTTTCAAAACTAGATTGGACAACCGTTTTATCTGGAATGGTAGCGGGTATATGCGGTTGCTAAGAATTAACACCAACTTGATGGTGCATAACAGGGTTGGTATTCACTTACCTCCGCTACCAGTTCACAAATGTGAGCCCGGGTAGGCGGAGCCTCCCTGCACCGCCGCTACCAGTTTGCCAGAACCACGGTTGAATACCACTACTGGTGCAGAATCAATCAATATGTATATGCATATGAACATATATAGATATGAAGGGTGTAGTGGCCTAGTGGTGAAGATGCTTGCCTCCCCCTCGGAAGATGGAGAGTTCAATCCTACCTAGTGGCAGCTATTTCTTTCCCCAAAGAGCAAAGCAAAAATATCTGCTGTGAACTCCACATAGGCATCAGGAAGGGCATACGGCCAGTAAATGCTCAGCTTCATCCAGTTGCTGCTCTGACATTAAGGGATTTTACAGGGTCATAAAAGGGAGTTTTTATGGACATATATACACGTGTGTGAGAGTAAGTGTGTATATATGTACATATCGAGATGCACAATTCAGCACAACTTACTAGAGGTCCATGGATTCAGAGAAAATTCTACCTACTTTCTTAAGCTATCTTTTCTTTTATGTACACTGGGAGCATATGTACCGAGACAAATTCCTTGTGTGTCCAATCACACTTGGCCAATAACAAATTCTAATTCTAATTCTAATTTATCTAAGCAATATAAATAAATGGTAATATTTATTGTTTTAATGTTTCGATTGCTATTGCAGTGTTTAGCTTGTTGTAAGTCACCTGGTTACCTGATGGCAAGACGGATGGCATCGACATGTAGTAAATAAATAGAAGTCTATTTGTTTTGAAGGCTTCATCAAATCGCCCTGAATCCAGATGTTCTATTACATTTTTACCCATAATTTAAGATCGATATTCACGAGAGAGCTGCCGTCCAAAATCCCACCTATTCTGGAAATCTTTGGGGGAAATGACTTGCCTCTTTTTTTAACTGTAAAAAAAAAAAAAAATTTCTGGAATAGTTAAAGATTCTGTCTTGGTAATATGAACAAGAAATCTGGATTTGGGCTTTTCAGATGGATAATAGAGCCGAGGCGCTACGAGGACTTTGTAGCTTTCTTATCTCTTCAACTCTTGCCTGTTGCTCTGTTGTTGTAGCATCTGTTGTGGATGTCACAATTGTTGGAACTTGACCCTTCACCTATTCCTACTCAGAGGGAGAAAAATTCTGGAATTCCTTTGCAATCGTGAGAATTTGACACGGGGAAGACGGTCTTCAGGATTTCTGGAGTCGTGTCCACCATGTTCCTGGAGGTTCTTTAGGCACCTGTGAAGGTCTCCCCGTCCCCCTTAGATCTTGGTCGGGGCATAGTCCCTCCTATAAAACTCCAATCTAATGCGATTGGCTAAAAGGTGGGTAATTGAAGCTAACATCATTGGTTCTCCACTTCCTCTAACCAAGTGCAGGAAAAATTAGGAAGTCTGGGCAGTTAAAACAGAATATAAAGATTTAGTGCAAGTTCTCACTCTCTACAAGAATCTGAACTACTAACGGTCAAAGCAAATTGGCGGTAGATAAGAGTCAAGGGAATTCAAGGAGGGCTGGATTTAGATAGTTTAGTTTAGTTTAGTTTTAGTTTTATTAAATTTTTATACCGCCCTTCTCCCAAGGGGACTCAGGGCGGTATACAGCCAAGATAAAACCAACAATACAAAAGTTAAAATCTCTTGTGGGCACGCAGGGACTCAAGACTGATGATATATTTGACTCCTCTTTCGGGCCTGGTCATTTCCTTCAATAACCTCCTGATCTTTCTCCCCCCTCAATCGGGTTTAAAAGTAGCAGTCTAAACTACAGGTAGTCCTCGACTTACGACCACAACTGAGCCCCAAATTTCTGTTGTCAAGTGAGACATTTGTTAAGTGAGCTTTGCCCAGTTTTACGGCCTTCCTTCCTTGCCGCGGGTGCTAAGTCGATCACCGCAGTTCTTAAATTGGTGGCACAGCAGACTAAAGCGCTGTTAAGTAGCACCAGCTGCCTGCAATTACTGCAAGTTCAAATTTCACCAGGCTCAAGGTTGACTCAGCCTTCCATCCTTTCGAGGTAGGTAAAATGAGGACCCGGTTTGTGGGGGCAATAAGCTGGGCCCATTTCCAGCCTCCCCAAACTTCCGATAGGCCCATTTTTTGCCCTCCCCGAGCCTCCGTCCGCGCCCTGCACTTACCTACATTCAAAACGGGCCGCATGGGGACTCCTGGGAGGGGAGGGGAGGGGTGGGCAGAGCCAGCCAGGAGTGGGATTTGGGGGGTCTCCGAACTGCACAGAATCTCAACTAGAGGTTCTCCTGAATCCCTGCGAACCCCCAGCAGCCCCACCCCTGCTTAATATGCTTAAAGAGGAAGGAGTTCCAATTCACGAGCAAGCCTTATGAGCCCTGCACACTCCCTCTCTCTCTCTCTCTCTCTCTCTCTCTCTCTCTCTCGCTCGCTCGCACGCACACACACACACACACACACACACACACACAATAAATAAATAAAAAGGAGCTGGCTGCTAGAATGAAATTTGCAGGAATGTATGTCAACAAGACTGCTGCTAGATTGCGGCATCCGTGCAAACTCCAGCTTGGAGAGAATCAATACTTTATAATAAGTTTCTAGGCTGCCTGGTAGTGAAAATATGTTTTGAGTATTATATGGGAGTAGAAGAACCGAAGCCCCAGCAAAGAGAAACCAATTAAATTTCCAACAGGCAAAATGAGATGAATTTGCAAAATGCCTCGCTCGGAACGATTAGCGAAAACGGGGTGAAATAATCAGGACAGAACCAATTTGTGGGATGCAAATTATGGTTGCCTGCGAAGACTCCTGGGTTTTCCAATTTGGGGAGTTGATAGTTGAAGGGTGTATCCGCTTCCCATGCTTGGCCCCAGAGATAAGGAGTCATAGCCACTGGAGATTCTATTTTGAGACAGTATCCAAATCGCCCACAAGAAGTTGGTCTTTAAAAGTTGGCCACCTGCACTTACCCCCTTCGAGATTAGCGAAAATATACCCTAAAATGAACCCCATATGTTGGAAATGTAAAAAGAAAGAGGGAACATACTACCATATGTGGTGGTCCTGCCCTGAGGCTCGAAAATATTGGCTTAAAATTAAAGATTGGCTACAGGAAATTACTAGCGAATAATTAGATTTAGAACCGGAACTCTTCCTATTGGGGATCTTCAAAAAAAAAAAAATGTGAAGAACACAAAATATCTAGTACTACACATACTAACCGCTGCCAGGATTGCCTTCGCTCAATGTTGGAAACAGCCATGCACACCCGCAGAGAAATTCCCAGAATGAAGCAAGTTGAAGGACCATTGCCAAATTATTGAGTCTGTCATCTGCACCTCTATAACTGTCTGGTTTGGTTCTGCAACCCAACAAGACAGACACAGACTTCAGAGGATCAATAGAACTGCAGAAAAAACAATGGCTACCAACCTGCCTTCCACGGAGGACCTGTATACTGCACGAGTCAAAAAGAGGGCTGTGAAAATATCTACAGACCCCTCGCATCCTGGACATCAACTGTTTCAACTCCTACCCTCAAAACGACGCTCTAGAGCACTGCACACCAAAACAACTAGACACAAGAACAGTTTCTTCCTGAATGCCATCACTCTGCTAAACGACTAATTCCCATGACACTGTCAAACTATTCACTAAGTCTGCATTACTATTAATCTTCTCATCGTTCCTATCACCCATTTCCTCCCACTTATGACTGCATGACTATAACTTCGTTGCTGGTATCCTTACGATTTATATTGATTGTTTCCTAGTATGATTTGCTTGCTTATTTGTACCTTATGACTATCATTAAGTGTTGTACCTTATGATTCTTGACAAATGTATCTTCTCTTTTTATGTACACTGAGAGCGTATGCACCAAAGGCAAATTCCTTGTGTGTCCAATCACACTTGGCCAATAAAGAATTCTATCTATCTATCTATCTATCTATCTATCTATCTATCTATCTATCTATCTATCTATCTATCATCCATCTATCAATCATCTATCTATCTATCTATCTATCTATCTATGATAGATCTAGGTGATCTATCAATCATTTATTTATTTTATTTATTTATTTTTGAATTTGTATACCGCCCTTCTCCCTGAGGACTCAGGGCGGTGAACAGCCAGATAAAAACACCAGATACAAATATTAAAACACATTTAAAAATATATATAGATTTGGCCCCGTTAATTAAAAACGATCAGCAAAACAGAACAATTAATAAAACCCTTAAAAAGAAATTAAGCCAGCCCGGCTTGTTGAAAAAAGAAAGTTTTAAGGGCACGGCGGAAGGCACTGAGGTCATGGATTCTCCTTATCTCAGGGGGCAACTGATTCCAGAGGGTAGGTGCCCCCACAGAGAAGGCCCTCCCCCTGGGGGTCACCAGCCAATCATCTATCAATCATCTATCTATCTATCTATCTATCTATCTATCTATCTATCTATCTATCTATGATAGATCTAGGTGATCTATCAATCATCTATCAATCATCTATCTATCTATCTATCTATCTACTATCTACTATCTATCTATCTATCTATCTATCTATCTATCATCCATCTATCAATCATCTATCTATCTATCTATCTATCTATCTATCTATCTATCTATCTATCTATCTATCTGTCAAGAGATCCAAGTTGGACCTGTTTTGAGTCTCTTTCTTACGCTTTCCTGTTTTCCTGGACCGAATTTACATTTTTGCTAATGGTCTCTACATACTGTACCTTCTCCAAGCTCAGATCTGTGCTCTTTTGCAGCCCGTGATGGATGCCCAGTTTGGCTAAGCCCTGCTGGCCATTCCTCCTTGTTAAAATCTGCCCTCGTCCTCTCAGCCACCTCCACAATCTTGCGTTTCCTACAGAGCCCTTCAATAAATTGAAGAAGGACCACAGATTCAGCCTGCTCAGTGGCTAAGACACTGAGCTTGTCGATCGAAAAGGTTCATCCCTAGCACAGGTATCCTGCGTGAGCAGGGGGTTGGACTAGATGACCTCCAAAGTCCCTTCTAAACTCTGTTACTGTTACATCTCAACCACAGCGGTGTTGAGATTCTTTGGTACAACTTTCTTCTTCTTTTCCCTCCCCCTGCCCCCGCGCAAAGTCGTTCTTCCCCCCCCCCAAAAAAAAGTCGATGGCGGAGGAACTTTTAAAATAAAACGAACCAGGCAGACCTGGAAAAGGGTGGGTGGGCACGGCAGGGGAAATCTGAATTGTTTGTTTTGCCTGTCAATTTGCTGGATTGGATGGGAGGTTTTCGAGCTGGCTCTCCATTCCGGATCGAGCCACCCGCCCTGGTTTGAGCCGGTTTTGGTCAGCGTGAAGGGTCCCTTTGTCATTTTAGCCCGCTTGCCCTGCTTTCCAGGCCCCCCCTCCCCGCTTCCCTCCCTCTCTCCCTCCACCAACCAACCAATGAGGCCATCTCCCCTTTTGGAATTGAAATGATAGAAGTGAGCTGTAAGCCCTCCCTTAACACCCCCCCTCTGACCCTCATCCTTTCTGCTCTTTTTTTTTCTCTCCAGCTGGAATTTCGGGGTTGGACCAGAGAAAGGAGGGATGTCATCGGAGATCAAGGGGGTATTTTTGGGGGGTGCCTGGTTCCCTCCCCTCATTGGCCCCCAAGCCAAGGCCACCAGCTTATAAAAGTTGGGAGAGACGGATTCATGTTCTCCAAAGACGCAGTGAAGTTCAAGACCGAAGCTGCCTGAGAGAAGAAAAGACCCTTGAAAAGTTGGCTTCCATCCCTTGAAGACTACCGAGACCATCTCACACACATTAAACCCCCTTCGCTTTTGGCAACCCATTTTCCACAGCTTTTCCTAGGCCTGTCTGGGGTAAGTGTATCCTTGTTTCTCAGCTGCTCCTTCTCAATCGCTTAAATAACTCAGAAGGAGCCACACATTTTTCAGTCTCTGGATTAGCAGCGGACGAGAAGGCTCAGGGGGGGGAGTCAGATAATCAAAACGGCAGACAAGAGGCCGGGTTTTATCGATAGGGAATTGGCTTGGAGGGATGATTTTCGTTTCAGCAGAGTGATATATGGCAACAGATGAGGCCGCCAGATCCTGATTCAGAGGGGAAGTAGGAAAGACTTTTAAATAAGGGGCCTAAAGCATTTCCCTTCTTCTCGCTCCCTGTTGTCTTCATGGGATTCCTCAATTAAAGGGGCAAAAGGGGAATGGACAGGTAGTTAGGTAGGTAGTTAGGTAGAGATGATAGGATAGATAGATAGATAGATAGATAGATAGATAGATAGATAGATAGATAGACAGACAGAGACACACACACACACAGAGAGAGACAGAGAGAGAGAGAGACAGATAGACAGGCAGTTGGGAGATAGATGATGGATGGATGGATGGATGATAGAGATAGAGAGACACAGAGAGACATAGATGGGCAGATGGGGAGAGAGAGAGAGAGACAGATGGGGATAGGTGATAGAGAGAGAGAGAGAGAGAGATAATAGAGATAGAAAGAAACAGAGAGAGACAGAGAAACAGAGACAGAGACAGAGATGGATAGATGGGCAGATGTGGGAGAGAGAGAGACAGATAGGGGGATAGGTGATAGAGATGATAGATAAATAGATAGATAGATAGATAGATGATAGATAGATAGATAGATAGATAGATAGATAGATAGATAGATAAGATAGAAAGAAAGAAAGAAAGAAAGAAAGAAAGAAAGAAAGAAAGAAAGAAAGAAAGATGATAGAGATAGAGAGACAGAGGCAGAGAGAGGCAGAGAGAGACAGAGAAACAGAGAGACAGAGACAGAGATGGATAGATGGGCAGATGGGGAGAGAGAGAGAGACAGAGAGGGGGATACATGACAGAGATGATAGATAGATAGATAGATGATAGATAGATAGATAGATAGATAGATAGATAGATAGATAGATAAGATAGATAAGATAGAAAGAAAGAAAGATGATAGACAGACAGAGACAGAGACAGAGTCAGAGTCAAAGTCAGAGTCAGAGAGAGAGAGACAGACAGACAGACAGACAGACAGACAGACAGAGACAGATAGACGGGCAGATGGGGAGATGGGGAGATAGAGAGAGAGCGAGACAGATGGGGGGATAGGTGATAGATAGATAGATGATAGATAGATACATAGGTAGGTAGGCAGATGGGGGAGGGAGGGAGGGAGGCAGATAGACAGACAGACAGTCAGATGGGGAGAGGGAGGGAGGGAGGCAGGCAGGCAGACAGACAGACAGACAGACGCATGGATTCTTTGGATTCTTACAGTGGTTAGAAAGAAAATAGCTTCAACGTTGGACGAAGACACGGCACCATTCCTGATAAGATCGCCCAATAGAAGCAGGGAAACTGACACGCAGGGAACAGCTGAAATTGCACGGATTAACTTTTGAAGGAAAAAAAAGCTTTGAAAATCCCATTGATTCCCTCCTTGGCAGAAACAATGGGCCTTCACTGCTCGCTCGCTCCTGAACAGCTGAAGGGTTGAATTTCAGCCAGAAAAGGAGAAGACAGCATCCATTTACAGTATATAAGCACTCCTCTTGCTCGCTGGGAGACCTTAGGGGTCATTTGCTTTGACATAGGGAAGGCCTTTTAGATATCTGGGCTGCAAAGATCCAGGTAGCCCCTAGGGGGCAGTCATCTAACACCCCACCCCACCTCCCCAGAAAATGCTAGCTCTTTTCTGCCATCTTGTGGCCATGCTAACGTTTGCAGTTCTGATATGTAGACTTAACATAGGGGAGATGCCGGGGAAACTGAATGAAAGTTTCATGGCATTGAGAGCCAGGATGGTGTAGTGATTAAGGTACCAGGCGACAAACCAGGGGACCGCGAGTTCGAATCCCACCTTAGGCACAAAGCCAGCGGAGTGAACTTCAGCCAAGCCCTCTCTCAAGTTTCAACTCCTACCCTCAAAACGAGGCTATAGAGCACTGCACACCGGAACAACTAGACACAAGGACAGTTTTTTCCCGAACGCCATCACTCTGCTAAACAAATAATTCCCTCAACACTGTCAAACTATTCACTAAGTCTGCACTACTATTAATCTTCTCATTGTTTCCACCACCCATCTCCTTCACTTATGACTGTCACTTTGTTGCTTGGATCCTTACGATTTATACTGATATTGTTTCCTGATTATTTGTACCCTATGACTACCATTAAGTGTTGTACCTTATGATTCTTGACGAATGTATCTTGTCTTTTTACGTACACTGAGAGCTTAAGTGCCAAAGACAGATTCCTTGTGTGTCCAATCACACTTGGCCAATTAAAAAAAATAATAATTCTATTCTACTCTCTCTCAAGTCCTAGGAAGGAAGGAAGCACTTTTGACTCAAGGGCACACACACAAAAAAAATAAATTAAAAAACCCAACACCTCGTTAGTTTAATATGGCTATATATAAATGCCGCCCAGAGTTTATGGGCTGCATAAGAGTTTATGAGCTGCCCAGAGCTGGCTGAAGAGCTCTGGGAGTTGAAGTCCACAAGTCTTAAAGTTGCCAAGTTTGGAGACTTATCATGATCAGGAATGGTATTCGCTTACTTTCCCTACCGGTTCGCAAATGTGAGTGCCCGTGCCTTCTGTGCATGCTTCCGGCCTCAAAAACTTGCCTAAATAGGATGGCATATAGAGCCGGGATGGGTGGGCGGGGACACTTGCGATTTCTGCTACCAGTTCAGGCAAACCGGTCTGAACCGGCAAAATACCACCTCTGTTCATGACCCAATAAAGTTGACCAGCTGGATGAGTCTGCAGAAACAAACCAAAATCTCTGTGTGTGTCTGTGTGTATGAATGTAGATTAAAGAAGAACCGCGTTGAGTTCAATCATGCTGGATTTCACCATCTTTAATTTCTCAGCCTTCTAGATGGCTCCTACTGATCCCCTCCATGTGACTACACCACTGAGAGAAAGCATCCCTCTTTCTAAGTTGGCCGGCACCAAGGTCTACCTCAAACTGGAGTGCGCCCAACCCACAGCTTCTTTTAAGATACGGGGCATTGGGAATTTCTGCAAAACGGTATGGATTGGAGAGAGGTTCTGTGAGCGGGACATGACGGGAGTTGTCCAATTCACATCTGACAGGGCTGGAAGCAAAGGCTGTGCCTAGGAAGAACCAAGTTTGGCCAATTAGTTGACATTTTATTTTATTTTTATTTTTGTAAAAAAAGAGAATTATGGAATCCTTGAGTCACAAGGTAGAATATAGACCCGGGATGGCGAATCTATGGCATGCGTGCCACAGGTGGCATGTGGAGCCATATCTGTGGGCATGTGGCCAGTTGATTTTCGGGCCTTCCGGGCCCACCGGAAGTCAAGAAACGGGCCGTTTCTGGCCTCTGGAGGGCCTCCGGGGGATAGGGAAGGCCGTTTTTGCCCTCCCCAGGCTCCAACAAAGCCTCTGGAGTCTATGGAGGGTGAAAAACGGGCCTTCCGGGCCCACCAGAAGTCAGGAAACGGGCTTCTGGCCTCCCGGGGGGGGGGTTCACCCTCCCCAGGCTCCAAGAGCCTCTGGAGCCTAGAGAGGGCAAATAATGGGCCTACCGGGCCCACCGGAAGTCAGGAAATGGGCGGTTTCCAGCCTCTGGAGGGCCTCTGGGCGGGGTGGGGAGGCTGTTTTCGCCCTCCCCAGGTTCTAAGAAAGCCTCGGGAGCCTGGGGAGGGTGAGAAACAGGCCTACTGGGCCACCGGTAACCTTTTTGCCATTGCGTGCCAAAAGCAGGGGAAGCGCAAGGGGATCGTGCATGACTGCATGGGGGCAGGGGGCATGGGGGGGCATTGAATTATGGATGTGGGCACGCGATGGCAAAAAGGTTAGCCATCACTGATATAGACCATCCAGTTAGTCCAATTCCTGCTCAGTCCAGGATCCTGTAGAACATCTGTAATAGATGATGATTCGTCCTTTGTTTGAAGAAATGTTTGTATGGGGGTAATGAAATAACCACTGTTGTGGTGCGGTGGCCTAGAGGTGGCATTCTCGCCTCACATTCAGGAGGCTGTGAGTTCGATCCTAGGCAGAGGCAGATATTTCTCTCTCTGGGCACAATGAGAATATATCTGCTGACAAAACTCCGCATTGGCGACAGGAAGGGCATCTGGACAGTAAAAACTCAGCTCCATTCAGTTGCCCAGGCTCCACCCCGCAAGGGATTATGGGATTGTTAAAAGAAGATGATGATGAACGAAATAACCAGTGTTGTAGGTGTTAGAAGCCTAAGGGAAAAAAAATCCTTCTAATTCATAATATAGGGCAAAACTCCCTTGACAAATGTCTCAATTAGCAACAGAAATTTTGGGCTCAGTTGTGGTCATAAATTGAGGACAACCTGTATATTCCCATCATGTATATATACACACATTTGGTCATGAGATGATTAGGGGACTGGAGACTAAAACATACGAAGAACAGTTACAGGAACTGGGCATGGCTAGTCTAGTGAAGAGAAGGACCATGAGAGACATGATAGCAGTCTTCCAATACTTGAGGGGCTGCCCCAGAGAGGAGGAAGGGGGTCAAGCTATTTTTGAAGGCCAGACAAGGAAGAATGGATGGAAACTGATCAAGAAGAGATTCAACCTGGAAATAAGGAGAAATTTTCTGACAGTGAGAACAATCAACCAGTGGAACAGAAGTTGCCTTCAGAAGTTGTGGGAGCTTCACCACTGGAGGATTTCAAGAAGAGACTGGACTGCCATCTGTCACAAATGGTGTAGGGTCTCCTGCTTGGGTGGGGGGTTGGACTAGATGACCTACAAGGTCCCTTCCATTAATGTGTATGTAGTGTTGATGAATGAAAATATCCATTAGCCCCAACTAGCACGATGCAATTATTCAGCTATATTTGAAGGAATCCCTGCTTTTCCTATTTTTGTGACCACATTAAGGGACGTCAAGTGAGAAATGCCTTCAGTTGGTTGAAATTCTCTTGTGCCGTGAAGGATGTCACTTCTCATGTTTCTGCTTTTGCTTCCACAGTGGGTGGAACGAGGGTGCAAGCACTTGGTCACTTCCTCAGGTAAATGGATACCCTTCCAATAAATACAGTAGTGGCCAAAATTGTGGGGACCTTTTGGGAAAAGTGTATTTTCTAAAACTAGCAAACAACACCCCCTTTTGGGGGGGGAGTAGTACCATAAAATTATATATCAATGGAAAGATCATTGAATCAAGAATGTCATGCCATAACTTTTATGAAGGAAAGGAAGGAAGGAGAGAGGGAGGAAGGGAAGGGAGGTAGAGAGTTGTAGGAAGGAAGGAAGGAAAGGAAACGAAGGGAGGAGAGACAAAGGAAAGGAGGGAGGGAGGGAGGGAGGGAGGGAGGGAGGGAGGGAGGAAGGAAGGAAGGAAGGAAGGAAGGAAGGAAGGAAGGAAGGAAGGAAGAGGAAGATGTCCAAATCAATTGTAGTTCCACGAAAGTAAGAAAAGATCTCAGAAAAGCAGTCAGCCGGCAGTCAGCAGAAGTAGCCTGTGGGTACTGCCCTCTAACCACTGTGCCTCCATGGCACTTCTAACATATGAAATGGGTTATTTAGGTTACTACCTGCTAAGGAGAGGGTGCGAACGAAGGGTCAGCGGTTAAAGATGCTGAGCTTGTCAGCTGGAAAGCTGACAGACCGGTGTTTGAGACCCAGCGCTGTAGTTCACATTAAATGTCAAACACCTTTCCTTTTCAGGTGGAAATGCTGGCCTTGCGGTGGCCTATTCTGCCCGAAAATTGGGGATCCCAGCCACCATCTACGTCCCCTCCTGTACCCCAGCTTTCACTATTGAGCGACTGAAGGAAGAAGGCAGCTCAGTGTATGTTGAAGGAGAGGTAGGTTTGGAGATAGTGGGCTGAGGAATATTGCATTCAGTTTTGCTCACCACGATAAAATAAGATGTGGAGACTCTAGAAAGAGTGCAGAGAAGAGCAACAAAGAGGATTAGGGGACTGGAGGCTAAAACGTATGAAGAACGGTTGCAGGAACTGGGTGTGTCTAGTTTAATGAAAAGAAGGACCAGGGTTGACACGATAGCAGTCTTCCAATTTCTCAGGGGCTGCCCCAAAGAAGAGGGAGTCAAGCTATTCTCCATAGCACCCGAAGGCAGGACAAGAAGCAATGGGTGGAAACTCATCAAGGAGAGAAGCAACTTAGAACTAAGGAGAAATTTCCTAAGAGTGAGGAGAACAATTAACCAGTGGGACAACTTGCCTACAGTATATTGTCGCTCTTCAAGGTTGCAGATAGCAGTCGATATTTCTTGGTATTGTTTTCTTAGCATCTTCTTGATCTAACAAAGGGACTTCTCCTCCCCAGATATTAGCAGACAGCACAAAAGCAGCTAAAGAGTTGGTGAAGAACAATCCTGAGTGGGTTTATGTGCCTCCGTTTGATGATCCCTTGATTTGGTAAGTATTCCTAAAAGAGGTCTCTAAAGAAATACACATCTTCTTCCTCCTCCTCCTTCCTCCTCCTCCTGTTTCCTCCTTCCTCTTCCTGCTTTCTCCATCCTCCTTCTCTTTCCTCCTTCTTTGTTCCTCTTCCTCCTCCTCCTCCTCTTTTTCTTCTCCTTCTCCTTCTTCCTCCTTCCTCATCCCTCCTTCTCCTCCTCTTCTCCTTCTTCTCCTCCTCCTTCTTCCTTCTTCCTTCTTTCCTCCCTCCTCCCTTCCACCTCTTCCTCCTCCTCCTTCCTCTTCCTTTTCCATCTCTTCCTCCTTCTTCCTCTTTTTCTTCATCTTCTTCCTCTTCCTCCTCCTTCTTTCTTCCTTCTTTCCTCCCTCCCTCCTCCTCCTCTTCTTCCTCTTCCTTTTCCTCCTCCTCCTCCTTCCTCCTTCCTCCTCTTCTTCTTCATCTTCTTCTTCCTCTTCCTCCTTCCTTCCTCCTCCTCCTTTTCCACCACCTTCTCCCTTCTTCCTCCTTCCTCCTCCTTTTCCTCTTCTTCCTCTTCCTCCTCTTCCTCCTTCCTCCCTCCTCCATTAAATTTATAGCCCCATCTTTCCTATAAGGACTCAAGATTGCATTCTGTCCCTTAATTTTATCCCCTCAACACTTGATCTTACCTGACAAGACCAAGAAGAAATTCCTTACCCAGATGCTGCAGTTATCTCACTTGGCTTCAGGGCAGGACTTCTTCCTTCCTTTACCTCCCAATGCATAAAGAAGGGATTAATTATATTAGAGCCAAAAGGTGGGGAAAAAGAGGTTATGGCCTTTATGAAAACTTATGAAAAAGATCTGCAAGCCACAGGCATCGGTGTCAAATTAATAGGAACCACATAGAACAAGTTTTATTTTATATTTTTCATACCTGTAGCACATGGAAAATCCAACTAAGATCTATTCTAAAGAGTGCCCAAAGGAACACAAGGATCATTCTTACTTTCTTTTATGCCGAGATGGAAATTACATCCTCAAGGCACTGAAAGGTTTGGAGGCCATCAGGGTCATCTATCAATTTTGGTGTGAAGCCCAGATCTGTCCATACCGTGATTGTAGACATCTTTGGAAGACATTCGATTCAAATTTCTCAGAACCAATTTACGGTCTTTTGCCATATATCAAATGTCTTTCCGCTTTTTTGGTTTCTGGGCTTTTCAAAGTCAAGGATGTCCAAGAACATCTCTACCACTTAGTTGAGTTTGAGCTGCTGAGTTTCAAGGAAGGTTGGGACCTGCGAATCACTGCAGTTGTTAAGGGGGGTGTTGAGAATGCTGCTGCAGCAGCCATGAGGACGGGTGGGATTGAAAAATTTAACAACCGGTTCGCTGCCCGGTTGCTGGGTGGGTATAGTCATGGGGGCATGGCCTACTTGGCCTCCTGCACCACAGTGTGGGAGTGTTTTCATCTTCCCAAGGCTCCGGAAGCTTTCCTCGAGCCTCCAGAAGGGTGAAAACGGCCTCCCCGGGCTCCGGAGGCCCTTTGGAGGCCGGAAATGGGCCCATTTCCAGACTTCCGGTACTTCCGGTAGACCCGTTTTTCGCCCTCCGAAGGCTCCAGGGGCTTTCCTCGCACCTCCAGGAGGGCGAAAACGGCCTCCCCGGGCTCCAGAGGCCCTTTAGAGGCCAGAAATGGGCACATTTCCAGACTTCCAGTACTTCCGGTAGGCCCGTTTTTCGCCCTCCGGAGGCTCCAGTGGCTTTTCTCGAACCTCCAGGAGGGCGAAAACGGCCTCCCCGGTCTCCAGAGGCCCTTTAGAGGCTGGAAACGGGCCATTTCCGGACTTCCGGTAGGCCCATTTTTCGCCCTCCAGGAGCCTCCAGGAGGGTGAAAACAGCCTTCCCTGGGCACCGGAGGCCCTCTGGAGGCCAGAAATGGGCCTATTTCCAGACTTCTGGTAGGCCCATTTTTTTTGTTAAGCCACTGGGGGCTCCTGCCTGTCTTATCTAACTGCTTCCCAGGTCACACACCTCTTCCCCTGGTTCCCCAAGGTCATCTGTACATTCCGTTAGACAAGCAGTGTGTGTTAGCACCCTTGGGTCCCATCAAGACCTGGAGATATCATCCTTCAGGGCTCTGAGAAGAGTCGGGACAGAAATCTTCACCAACCTCGGTCTCGTTTTCTTCCCCCAGTTTATCTTCTCCTCTCCTGCCTTCTCAATTCTTTGCTAATGCAGTTCAGCTCACCCCTATTTCTCTCCCTTCCAGGGAAGGTCACATGTCTCTGGTCAGGGAGATGAAAGAGCAGATGGCCTCCAAGCCTGGAGCCATTGCCCTCTCTGTTGGAGGAGGGGGCATGCTATGTGGAGTGATTCAAGGCCTACGAGAAGTGGGCTGGGAGGATGTGCCGGTGGTTGCCTTGGAAACCAAAGGAGCTCACAGCCTGAATGCTGCCTTGGAAGCCGGGAAGCTGGTGACACTTCCTCAAATTACCAGGTGAGCCTTGTTGGGATGGACCTCTGCTGACCAGGATGAGCAGCCCAATCTGAGAAGAACTAGTAGCTGGATGGGGCAGTGTCTTCTCTAGTTCACAGTGGCTGCATTCATACCACCAACTGGATGATGGTCGACTTCTTTTCTGGTCTGCACAGGACGTTGTGCAAACCACAGGAAGCCACTGTTGTGGCCCACCAGCAGATTCGGACAGTGAAGAGGTTGGGGAGGAACATGGGCCAGCCCTGGTATCTGGGGAAGGCTCTGATGAGGGCTCTGCATCAGAGGCATAGAGGGGGCCAGGGCCGTCTAATAGTTATCAGTTGCCTTTGGAGTCAGACATCAGTGAGGCAGAGGATCAGCTGGAACCTGTTCCCAGTGTGCGCATGCGCAGAGTTACCAGACGAAGGGAACAGCTAAAGAACAAGGGTCAGCTTGGGAGTAAGGCTACAGGCAGACGATGAATGGCCCTTCCCAGAGGGAATAAAAGAGGAGCGAAAGGGGAGTGGAGTTTGCAGGAGACAATTAGTTCATTCCTGCATTCTTGTCAAGTATTGCGGCGTCTGAAAGATATCAGCCTGGCCACTCTCCAAGCCTGATAAAGGTCGGTCATCTTGAAAGACTGAGAGAGGAAAGACTTTGCTGGAGAGGAATTCACTGTCGATTAAATAAAAGGGGTTTATCAGGATGAGGACCGGCTTCATGCTGCTGGGGAAGCCTAGATCAGAACAGCCACAAGTTGGGGTGACAAACCCTCTGAAGTTAACTCAAAAGATTCCTTTATTAGAAGTTCCAGCAGCCCTGGAAAAAAGTCTGTTTCTCAATGCTGACTAACAAGTCTGGCCGGCCGGAAGATGAATAGTTGTCTGCCACATCTATTCATCTCCGCCTCCTGCCTTTTATCCCCAGAGGTAGGGTGGGACTTTGCTGGCAGCGGTGGCTCTTCTGTCCCAAGGACCGGCCCATAGATTTCCACTGCTCTCCTCTCCTCTGCCTTCTGTGCATCCGTGCATCAGGCACTAGACCCAGCTGTTCCTCCTCTTCCTCATCAGCCACTTCCAGACCTGGGAGCTATTGACTCTTTGTCTGAGGGCTGATGGACGGCCCAGGCTCTGCCTCTTTCTGCCAGCTCCATTCCCTCGTCCCCCTCAGAGCTCTCAGGTTGCCCTCATGCTGGCCCTGATTCCCATGCCTTCTCCTCCTCTGATTCGGCTGCTGGAGGGGCCATCAGCCAACAGGCCACGACAAGTATCAAGGGTGAACCCCCTTTGAATCTGATAAATATGGCCTCTGTCGTAAAGGGCTATATAGGAGCTCATTGGGGTTTATTCAATAATACATGGTTAACCAAAGTATGGTTTGGTGTAGTGACTACAACACTTTTCCTTTCAGTGTCGCTACAACTCTGGGGGTGAGCATTGTGGCAGCAGAGACTCTGAAGCTGGCTCAGGAGCACCCAACTTTCTCAGTAGTGGTCACGGATCAAGAGGCAGTAGAAGCTATTGAAAAGTTTGTGGGTATGTGGTATGGGTCCTGGCACACTCAACCTGTCTTGTCTCTCCATCTCGGTCACTGTTTCTACCTCTACCTCCATTTCTACTTTAATTTAAAGTTCTACTTCTACTTCCACCTCCAGCTCTTTATCTTCTTTATTTCTATCTTCATCTTCATCTCCACCTCCAACTCCATGTCCACTTCCTATCTTTATCTTATCTTTACGCCCGTCTCCATCTCCACCTCTATTGTCATCTCCATCATCTTCACCTCCACCTCCTATTTTTATCTTTATTATCATTATCTTCATGTCTATCTCCACTTCCACCTATCTATCTACCTCTTCCTCCACCTTCACCTTCACCTCCACCTATTTTTATCTTTATCATTATCTTCATGTCTATCTCCACTTCCACCTGCACCTATCTATCTACCTCTTCCTCCACCTTCACCTCCACCTCCTATTTTTACCTTTATTATCAATATCTTCATGTCTATCTCCACTTCCACCTCCACCGATCTTTTTCTTTACCTCTACTTCTTCCTCCACCTTCATCTCCATCTGCATCTCCACCTTCATTGCAACTTCTCCAAATCCCATTTTAACAGTCAAGGGGTATCCCTAAAGCTCCTCACACTCTGCCCCATGATGGCACAATGGTTAGAATGCAGTATTGCAGGCTAACTCTGCCAACTGCCAGGAGTTCGATCCTGTTCCGGCTTAAGGTTTGACTCAGCCTTCCATCCTTCCGAAGTCGGTAAAATGAGGATCCAGATTGTTAGGGGGCAATAGGCTGACTCTGTAAACCGCTTAGAGAGGGCTGTAAAAGCACCATGAAGTAGTATATAAATCTAAGTGCTATTGTTACTGCTAATAGTAACTTTTTTCAAAGTGCCAGCTTATTGGATACACCATTCCAGCATAGATACATTATCTTATTTCTTGGTGACCCTCCTTTCAGCTTTAATCTTACTGTCACTTGCTCTGCAAGCTTTTAGTTAGATAAGACTATAGTACTAGAGCTGAGCTACCATATAGATGACCACTAGATGGCAGCAAAGAGTACCTAAATACATTCTTTTTGGCCATCTAGTGGCCAGCCAGTTTAAGGGTCCTAGATTTACAGTGATGCTGAACTCATAGGCATCAATTTCCTCTTCTCCTCACTGGCATTCGGTGGGTTAAAATCCCCATTTTTTCCCCCACCACCACCGCTCACAGATGATGAGAAGATCCTCGTGGAGCCCGCTTGTGGAGCTGCCTTGGCCATTGTCTACAGCGGAAGGGTCCAAAATCTCCAGGCAGAAGGCAAGCTGACTCCCCAGCTGGAGTCTCTCGTGGTGATTGTGTGTGGAGGAAACAACATCACACTGGCCCAGTTAAAGCATCTCAAGGCCCAACTGGGCCTCTCGAAAGATGAGGAGCCGTGGGATGATGACGTAGAAGAGAGCCACATCGCGATGGCCGTGTGGTCTTCACAAAAGAAAGGTGGCCATTTCCGGGCTTCGTTCCAGACTCACCGTCAACCCTACACTTATTAAAACGCCGTTGCCTCATGCTGTCTTCCTTCCTTCCTTCCTTCCTTGGCTTCTCTCTTACACAAAGGTGTGTGTTTGTGCCACAGGAACACACTGGTGGGAATGACGGTCTGGGGTCTTCTCCCTTAAAACCTTAGTTGGATCACCAATCAAGACGGAGCCATCCCTAGGTCAGTGTCAGAAGATGTTTGGTCTTCCACCATGGAGTTGGGTTGAAGCCCAGTTGTCCAGTGTGGTGACCATGCAGCATGTTCTTCTGGCTTTGGAGACCATCCCTTAAGACTGGCTATTGGTTCCTCCTGGACAGGAAGGAGATCAAGAGCTTCCTGTTCCAGTTGGATCCAACCTCTTGTAAGTTCCTCCTCCTAGGGAACCTTTTCAGATCAGACACCTTGGACCATCAGAAAGGTTCCAGAGGGATGGAAATACAACTTATGACTGGTCACTTAATGACCATTTGAAGTTACCGTGGACTTCCCCTGGGGTACTTACAACCCAGTTTCGAAGTTCTGAGGGCCATCCCCACCCCAAAGTCACATGACCTCACTTTGGGTGTCCATATTTACGGCAGTTTGTAATATCCCACGGTCATGCAACCACGTTGGTTCTGCTGAAAACCGGCAGTTCCGTCCGATTTTCGTCAAAACGGGCCCATAGCCAATGATTGCTTCGCTTAATGACCACAGTGTTTGTTTAATGACCACCGCGAAAAGGACCATACAATTGGGCCAGTCATATGTCCGGTGTCCTGATCTATGACTGTCCTGACTTACAATCATAATGGGCATGTTCCTTTACGGTCGTAACTTGAGGTCTGCCTGTGTTTGTACAAGGGAATCTTCTCCTTGGGGGCCTGAAGCTTCTGCCCTCAGTTCTGAGGGAAAACAACGGAAGGGGGGAAACTTCTCTTCGAAAAATCCTGAGAAGAAATTTTAGTCATTCATATTTTACTTCGATAGCCAAGAGTCCCCCATTCGTCCTTGGATCTGTCATTCCTTCCCCCCTACACAGTAATCTGTCTCCCCAAAAAAAGCTTCTCCTGGTGCAAACAATAATAATAATAAAAAGCCCTGATAATTAAAAAAAAAATAGTAATGTCTTCTCTTTCTTTTCCTGTCGCTCCTTTAAACGCAACAAAAATCAATAAATGAATAAAAATGAAAGAAAGAAAGAAAGAAAGAAAGAAGAAAGAAAGAAAGAAAGAAAGAAAGAAAGAAAGAAAGAAAGAAGAGAAAGAAAGAAAGAAAGAAAATGGGTGTTGTTCATTTAATTCCTGTTTTATAGGTATATACAGTTGATCCTAAAGAGTGTCAAACTCTGTGCTGAGGTTTACACATACACACACAGAGAGAGAGAGAGACAGATAGACAGACAGACAGAGGAAAGAAGGAAAGAAAGAAAGAGAGAGGAAGGAAGGAAGGAAGGAAGGAAGGAAGGAAGGAAGGAAGGAAGGAAAAAAAGGAGAAAGACAGAAATAAAGAGAAATAAAAGGGAGCAAGAGAGAGACAGAGAAGGAAAACAAAAGAAGAGAAAGAAGAGAAGAGGAAGAAAGAAAAAGAAAGAAAAAGAAAGAAGAGGGAGAAAGAAAGAGAGACAGAGAAGGAAAATGAAAGAAGAGAAGAGGGAGAAAGAGAGAGAAAGAAAGAAAAAGAAAGAAGAGGGAGAAAGAAAGAGAGACAGAGAAAGAAAAAGAAAGGAGAGAAAAAGAGAAAGCCAGAAAAGAAAAAGAGAGAAAGAGGGAGAAAGAGAGAGAAAGAAAAAGAAAGAAGAGGGAGAAAGGAAGAGAGACAGAGAAAGAAAAAGAAAGAAGAGGTAGAGAAAAAGAGAAAGCAAGAAAAGAAAGAGACAGAAAGAGGAAGAGAGAGACAGAAAGAAAAAGAAAGAAAGGGAGACAGAGAAAGAAAGAAAAGAAAGAAGAGAGAGAGAAAGAGAGAGAAACAGAGGGAGAGAAAAAGAGAGAAAAGGCAGAAAGAAAGAGAGAGAGAAAAAAAAGAGAGAAAGACATGAGTAAAATTGGCTCCAATTGGGTGGGGTGGGGGAGTCTTTTTTCAAAAGACCACTGGGGAAAGACACAGCCTTAAACCTGGGTCATTTTCAGGAGCCTTATTAAAGGAACTGGGTCGGGGGAGAGAGAGAGAGAGAGAGAGAGAGAGAGAGAGAGAGAGAGAGAGAGGACAGACAGAGAGACAGATAGACAAAGACAGAGAGAGACAGAGAGAGAGACCGAGGCTGCCTATTTGCTAAGATACAATGGAGATTGTCCTTGAATCCCTCTCCTCATTCATCCGCGGGAACGAGCTTCCCTTTGTCAAAGGACTCCGTTATCTTGGAGAGCTTTGGCCTTAGGCTGGCGGTGGGAAAACTGCAACTCCCAGGGCGCCGTGCCAAGCATCACAAAAGAACAAACTGTACGGGTGGTTGGGCGCGCGGTGAAAATCACCATTGCTGAGGAAGGCAAGTGCCATTCCGTATATCGAGTGGAGTGGGGGGGGGGGGGGGGGGGGGGGGGGGGGGGGGGTGTTTCTCCAGAAAGCGCAACAGGGATTGGACGACGAAGCTGTGAAGGTTTTGGGGTGGGGTGGGGTGGACTCCGGCCCTCGGAGCCCAGAGCCAGAAGCTTCTGTTTCAAGGCTCTTTTCGGCCGAGTGCCTTCTTATGCTCCTTTGATCGTGTTTTTTTTTATATAGGTAAGGCACGCGCGCTTCCCAGGAAGGGTGGGCCAAAAAAAAAAAAATGCAGAGAAGAGCGACGAAGATGATTAAAGGCCTGGAGGAAGAACGGTAGCAGGAATTCTAGAGAAAAGAAGGACTGGCGTGGGGACGGACGGACGGACATGATAGCAGTATTCCACAGCAGTTCGGCAGTTCCATCCTGACCGGCTCAAGGTTGACTCGGACCTTCCATCCTTCCGAGAACCTGAACCTGAACCTTCGGAGGGATTGCTGTCCTCTCCGAGGTCCTCGGAATTTCCCCTTTTATCTATTGACCTCTCCGCCGTCAATAGTGCCTAAATCGGCTCCCAAATCGAGGATATTAGGGACTTCAAGAGCGGAGATCTGTTCTCGTTGTCCCTAACACGATGACGTCGCCGCTGGAAGTTTTTCCACTGGAGGCTTTTTTTAAGAAGAGACTGGACAGCCAGCTGTCTGGAATGGCTTAGGGCAGTGATGGCTAACCATTTTGCCATCGCGTGCCAGGAGTGTGGGGAATGTAGAGGCGGTTGCATGCATGCCCACGCCCATAATTCTATGCGCCCCACTCCCACGCACGCATGTGCGACCCCCCCTCACTCCCTCCACTCCTGGCACGTGATGGCCCGGTAGTCCCGTTTTTCTCTCTCCCCAGGCTCCAGAGCCTTTCTAGGGGTGGGACCGGAAGTTGGCAAATGGGTCATTTTCGGCCTCCGGAGGGGGCTCGGGTGGGTAGGAAAGGCCGTTTTCACCCTCCCCAGGTTCCTAGAAAGGCTCTGAAGCCTGGGGAGAGCAAAAAATGGGCCTTCCGGTCCCACTGGAAGTTGGCAAGCGAGCCGTTTCCGTCCTCCAGAGGGCCTCCAGAGGGGGGAAGGCTGTTTTTGCCCTCCCCAGACTCCTAGAAAGGCTCTGGAGCCTGGGGAAAGAGAAAAACAGGCCTTCCCTACCACCACCCCTGAGGCCCTCTGGAGGCAGGAAACAGCCTGTTTCCCTACTTCTGGTGGGCCCAGAAGGCCTGAAAATCAGCTGGCCAGTGCGCACATGCACGCCGGAACTGAGCTCGGGTGCCCACCGATATGGCTAGGTGGCACGCGTGCCATAGGTTCGCCATCACGGGCCTAGGGGGTCTCCTACTAGAGCAGGGGGTTGGACTAGAAGACCTCCAAGGTCCCTTCCAATTCTATTATTCTGTATCACTGCCGTTTCCCTGCCTAAAGAGACGGCTACCACCGCAGTTGCAAAAACAGGACAGCAGAAAGGGAGGGAAAATATATGAAGTGATTGGTGTCCTGGTGATTTTTTTTTTTTTTAAATTCTCCCCACATAACACACACAAATTAAACCCTCTTGTGGCACAACCCATTCAAGCATCTCTGAACTACACAATCCACTGCAGGTTTTGTGTAGGCGTTTATTGGAACAACAGAACGAAACGAAAGTTTTAAAAGGTTCGGGTGAGAAATCTCATCATACGACCCAACGAGCCACTTTTACACCCTGATTTACGAGTCGTCTTCTCAACCATCTCCTTCCTTTTAGACTCAAGCCATTTTTGGCTTTTCCAGTTCGTCCCAGGATAAGGGCCCCTGCTTGCTCTATCCCATAATCTCGGAGGACCTCTCATGGATCAAGTTCCCCTTTTCTTTCAAGAAAGCCAGCCCAAGGGTGGAATCAGCACCCCAAAAAGCTCCATGAAGACAGCTAGAATTAGGCTCACAATCTGAGCCTGGCCCATGGGGGGGGGGGGTAAGACCAGTCTTAGGAAAATTCAGCCCCAATGGACTTGGATGGGCGAGAATTTCCATAGATCCGGCTGTCCCATGTGGGATATATTGCAATAGGGAGAAGTGCTCCACTCGAAAGGAGGAAGGTCATCCCAGGTAGGCCCGCTGACGGCCAGGAAGCTGTAATTCTTCATCATTTCGAAAGAGGTCACCTAGAAAGAGGAAAGCCGGGTTTCGTTTAAGAAGAACTTCTCCGATTTTAGCAAGGTATGAGCTACAGGCATCTGAGCTCAAGCGAAATCCCCCCCAAAAATAAAACGATAGGGAATTTCTGGAAGCGTGGCATTCAGACGAGTCAGCCATCGACAGACACAGAGAGATCAAGCACGTTTACATGCCATTCAAAGGAGAACAAAGCGAAGGGAACCAAAGGACCAAAACTTAACCTCTCCACCAGTGGTGGGATTCACCGGTTGTAACAACCGTTTCGCTTCTTGTGCCCACCGGAAGCTGGAAATGGGCCTGTTTCAGGACTTCTGGTACTTCCGGTAGGCCTGTTTTTTCGCCCTCCCCAGGCTCCAGAGGCTTTCATGGAGCCTCCAGGAGGGCAAAAACAGCCTTCCCTGGGCACCGGAGGCCCTCTGGAGGCTGGAAACTGGCCCATTTCCAGACTTCCGGTAGGCCTGTTTTTTCGCCCTCCCCAGGCTCCAGAGGCTTTCCTCAAGCCTCCGGGAGAGTGAAAATGGCTTCCCCTGGGCACCAGAGGCCCTCTGGAGGCTGGAAACAAGCCTGTTTCCGGACTTCTGATAGGCCCGTTTTTCACCCTCCCAGAGCCTCCGTACGCACCCTGCACTTACCTGGCATCCAAAACAGGCCACGTGGAGACTCCTGGGAGGGGAGGGGCGAGTTGGGTGGGGTCAGCCAGTCCTTGGAACAACCAGTTCGGCGAACCAGATTAAAATTAACATCCGAACCGGTGCGAACCGGCTGAATCCCAACCCTGCTCTCCACAGCCAATAGCAATAGCACTTAAACTACCTGTATCCGTTTTTCGATGGAAAACATGCACACCCCGATTAGCCGCATAAAGTGATTAAAAAGTTTCAGTCCTGTGTCTTGGGGGAGACTAAGGGGGTTTGCTGATGTCTTCCTTCGCCTTTCTTCCCTAGGTTAAGCTGGTTGTGAACTTGAAAAATTGGATTAATGTCATGAAGCAGCACGGAGTGGATTACGCGGCACAGCTCAAGCATCTCCCGAGCGGCTCCTAACTTTCTTTAAAAAGGGCCGATGCCCTCGACTGCAGGGATACCGCCACATGGAAGAGATGTTTGGAAGGGGCCACATGGCTGTGGCCGATATCTTGACTTTTCTGACACACAAACACACACACACCCGCCAAGAAGCTCAGCAACAAAAGGAAGATCTAGGCCCAATTCGCTTTGGTGTGCCGTGCGTCCAACTGTTCCTTTCCTTCAGTTAAGTGAGAAAAGAACGTGAAAAAAAAAATAATAAAAGGGAGATGTTTGGTTGACTGTCCAATCTATTCCACAGCCCTGGGAAATTTAATCAAACCCGATTAGTTTTTTTGAACCCGAGCGAGATCAGACAAGGGCTGCTCTCTGCTGAGATGGATACAATCAACAAACTTTTGAAAGCAATGCCACAGCAGCGAGACTTCTCAGCTCATCTCCCTTCCTCTCGGTTTCTCTCTCCTTCACCTCCTGCCCCTCACCTTCATATCGGTGCCCCCATGTCGCCGCTGGTAGAGAGCACCAAAGGGGTATGTGCCGTTGGCAGGATTGAGATCAGAGCGGGCAGAGATGGCATTTTCTCCGTTCTGGGATGGGTTGCAGCCTTGGCACCGGGACAGAGGATCTTGAAGGAAGTTGTTGAACCTAGGCAGAAGAGGAAGAGCAAAGCACAGGTAAGCCAGGTTCTCATTTGTCTGTCCGTCCGTCCTTCTCAGTCTGTCCGTCCATCCGTCCATCCATCCATCCACCTCTATCTATCTATCTATCTATCTATCTATCTATCTATCTATCATCTCTTTTTTTCTTTCTTTCTATCATCTCTCTTTTTTCTTTCTATCTATTTATCTATCTATCATTCTTTCTTTTTCTTTCTTTCTATCTATCATCTCTCTCTTTTTCTTTCTATCTATCTATCTATCTATATCTCTCTTTTTATTTCTTTCTATCTATTATCTCTCTTTCTTTCTATCATCTATTTGTTTATCTGTCATCTCTTTCTTTCTATCATCTCTCTATTTTTTCTTTCTTTCTACCTATCCATCTATCATCTATCATCTATTTATCTATTTATCTATCTATCTATCGATCACCTCTCTCTATCTATCTATCATCTCTCTATTTTTTCTTTCTTTCTATCTATATCTATCATCTCTCTCTTTTTCTTTCTTTCTATTTATCTATCATCTCTCTTTTTCTCTATATCTGTCTGTCTGTTTGTCTGTCTGTCTGTCTATCTGTCATCTCTCTCTCTCTTTCTATCATCTATCTATTCTATCATCTACCTATATCAATATTGATCTGTCTGCCTGTCTATCATCTATCAATCCATCCATTTCATCCATCCTCCATCCATCCATCTATCATCTATCTATTATTCATTGTCACATTTATCTCTATTTTCCATCCATTTTTTTCTATCTATCTATCTATCATGTATCTATCTATCATCTATTTACCATCCATCCATTTATCCATCTATCTATCCATCTTCACATTTATCCATCCATCCTATTCATCCCAACACCAACTGGCTGGGGAATTTGGGGAGTTGAAGTTAACACAGCTTCAAGTTGTCAACTTTGAGAAAACGCTACTCTAGATGATTGCCAAGGTATCTTCCAACCCTGTAATTCTATGCACTCCTTAAGCCAACATTTATCCTCATTTTTACCACCTTGCTCCATGAATCTGCTGTTTATTTGTCAGGTTGGGCTTCCCGTCGCCCAGAATTCATGTACAAAGAAATATTACCCAAAGGTCATTCCTTAATATGCAGACACCTGGGCAGGACAAACAAACTTCTAACCTCATCAATCGGATCATTGAATCCATATCCTGTATAAGAGTTTGGTTGCGCCGGAAAATTTGGGCTCGGGGAGTTTTCTCGTAGGTGAACCAGTCCCCATATTTCTGAACTAGTGCTGGGAGCCCGCTAGTGTTGAAGATATCTTGGAAATACCTAAGGGCAAAAAGAACAATTGTCAAAGAATGAATTGGCAGCTTTGAGGGATCTTGCTGTTAAGCTATTCTTTTGGGCTGTTTAATTCAATTCTGGGCCTTCTCCACCTTATAAGTGGCATATCCTCATCCTTTCAAACCTCAAATGGAAGGAAGGAAGGGAAGGGAAGGGAAGGGAAGGGAAGGGAAGGGAAGGGAAGGGAAGGGAAAGGAAAGGAAGGAAGGGGAAGGGGAAGGGGAAGGGAAGGGAAGGGAAGGAAGGAAGGAAGGAAGGGGAAGGGGAAGGGGAAGGGGAAGGGAAGGAAGGGAAGGGAAGGGAAGGGAAGGGAAGGGAAGGGAAGGGAAGGAAGGAAGGAAGGAAGGAAGGAAGGGGAAGGGAAGGGAAGGGAAGGGAAGGGAAGGGAAGGGAAGGGAAGGGAGGAAGGAAGGAAAGAAAGAGAAGGGAAGGAAGGAAGGAAGGAAGGAAGGAAGGAAGGAAGGAAGGAAGGAAGGAAGGAAGGAAGGAAGGGAAAATCCTTACGGCACATTGTAGCTTGCCCAGTAGCCTTCTTGGTACAATAGTTTGGTCATGTCGGCAGTAATCACCATTCCCCTGGAGACACAGGAAAAAGTGTGGGAGATACCAGCAAGCATTATTCAGGTAGTCCTCGGCTCATTTAGTTCATTTAGTGACCGTTCAAAGTTACAACGGCGTTGAATAAAGCGACTTATGGCCATCAAACTCAGAGAGCACCAAGGACCCCACAGTCCTCCTCCTTCTCCTCTGTCCCTCCTCCTCCTCCTCCCAACCACCCTTCTAGAACTAATGATGTTCCCTAGTTGGGTCATGAAACGTCTGTAAGAACATCAACCAAGCTCAGGGAGCACCAAGGGCCCCTCATTTCAGCCCTGAGCTACAAATCTTCTCCTTTATTAAAATAGAGGTTGCAACACTTACGGAATCTGTTCCAGCACAGTCAGGAGGCCACGCTGGGGAACAACCACGCCTGGGACAAAAAATTTATAATCCACAATCATCCACTGGTTATTGTACCTGTGTGAAGCGAAAATGAAGCGTAAGAGAATATCGATTGGAAGTCAAGGGTTAACAAGGTCAACCTTTGGGTTATATCTGGTCTTAAGAAGTCTCTGCCTCTCTCTCTGTCTCTTTCTCTGACTCTCTCTCTCTCTCTCTCTCTCTCTCTCTGTCTGTCTCTGTATCTCTCTCTCTCTCTCTCTCTCTCTCTGACTCTCTCTCTGTCTCTCTGTCTTTCTCTGTCTCTCTTTCTCTGTCTCTCTTTCTGTCTGTCTCTGTATCTCTGTGTGTGTGTGTGTGACTCTCTGTATCTCTCTCTCTTTCTGTCTCTGTGTCTCTGTGTCTCTCTGTGTGTGTGTGTGTGTGTCTCTGTGTCTCTCTGTCTCTTTCTCTCTCTGTCTCTCTGTCTCTATCTCTTTCTGTCTCTCTATCTGTCTTTCTCTCTGTGTGTCTCTCTCTGTCTCTTCTCCTGTCTGTCTGTCTCTTTCTCTGTCTCTCTCTGTGTCTCTGTCTCTGTCTCTCTCTGTCTGTCTGTCTCTTTCTGTCTCTCTCTCTCTCTGTGTCTCTCTCTCTGTGTCTGTGTCTGTGTCCCTTTCTCTTTCTCTGTCTCTCTGTCTCTGTCTCTCTGTCTCTCTCTTTCTCTTTTTCTCTGTCTCTCTCTCTTTCTCTGACTCTGTCTCTCTCTGTTTCTCTCTCTGTGTGTCTCTGTGTCTCTTTCTCTGTCTCTCTGTCTCTCTCTCTCTTTTTCTCTCTCTTTCTGTCTCTGTCTCTGTCTCTGTCTCTCTCTCTCTCTCTCTCACACACACACACACACAGACACACACATTGTGCATTACAAATTTAGGGACAGTGCAATCCATAGTGGTAGGTTTAAGATGCAAGCAGGAAAACCGTACAGGTAGTCCTTGACTTACGACCACAATTGAGCCCATAATTTCTGTCTCTAAGCGAGAAAGTGGTTAAGTGCATTTTGCCCCGTTTTATGACTTTTCTTGCCACCGCGGTTAAGCGAATCCTGGCCAGCTAACCAACCAGACATCGTGGTAGTTTACCACAACCTTCTGCGGGATCTCACATCTGGGCCTAAGAGGACCTAAGACCATATTCTCCGACAGATTCATGACCTGGCAGAGACATGGTAACAAGGTCAGCCAATGAATAGGCATAGCAACTAAGTCAGCCAATTGGGAGCTGAGACAGACTGGAGCCAGGGGGTGTCTTAGTCTGCAGCTTCTGACTCTGTGCAGAGAAACTGAAACTAAGCAGTGTGTGCTTATCTGTGTGTGCTTCTGGATTTGATTTTTTTGCAAGAAACTCTGACATTCTCTGCAGATGTTTCTAGACACCATGCCAGCTGCTTGGTTTGTGTCTTCAAGTGTACAGGTAAGTCCTCGTCTTGCAACCATTCGTTTTGGTGACCGTTTGAAGGACCAGAAGACAAGGGTGATGATAGAGGCCCTGTTCAACCCCAAAACTCAAGACCTTCGCCATGGCCATAGATGTTCTTCAGGAGCCCAAACTCACGTGCCACTGTTGAACTTCTCAAAGGTGGCCGCCCATTCTGCCCCAGTCCTTGCGAGACGGTTAGCCACAATGTTACGCAACCATTCCAACACACTGTTGTCAGGTGTGATGAACTTCCAAAGGTCACTATTGCTGTTTCCGATCGTCGTTTCCAGACTCACCTGAAGAAGGAAAACGTTCTGAGCATCTCCCCTAAATTAGGTATTAAAACAGTCAGGTCCATATAGGGATTCTTTAGATCAGGGGTGGCAACCTTAAACACTCAAAGAGCCACAAAGGCTCTAACCGGAAGCTCCCCATTCAATTCTGGAGTCAACCGGAAGTCCGGTTCCCCCCACCATAGTGTCTCCTCCTAGCATGGTGTCCTTTTTCCTCTACCTATCCTAAAAAATCATAAATCATAGACCATAAATGGTAGTTACAGTCATTAACCATAAGATACAACCAATGTTATGAATCATGAGGTACACTGCCTAAGACAGTGCCATGGGAATTACGTGCTTAGCAGAGTGATGCGGGGTGGGGAACGGACTTGTCTTAGCCCAAGCAGACATATTCTCCTAAATTCTCTTTTTTAAAAAGCTGTTGCAACTAGTTAGTGTGTGTGTGTGTGGGGGGGGAATTCTCCTGATCTGGATTAAATCCCCTTCAAGTGGCATGAATATAAAATAGAACTGGTTCTTCAGCACCCTGGACAGTACTCTGGACCTTGGGCCAGGCTTGGTTCTGCTTCAGTACCCCAGACAGCAATTTATCTGGATTTATGACTACAATTGGGACCGAAATTTTGTTGCTAAGCAAGATGGCTGCTAGGGAGCACCGCGTCCAATTTTACGACCTTTTGTCCTGCAGTAAAACCTGTGGTCATTAAGCGAATCCAACTTCCCCTGTCAACTTCGCGAGAAGCCAGTTGGAAAGTTTACAGTGGCGATCATTGCTTACAACCCTTGTAAATACAGGCTAGTTGGCCAACGCTCACCAACCACTGACCCCACTTACCAATCCGCTACTCAAGATGTAGAAATCGTCGCCGGAAAAGATAGTGCCTGGATACGAAGAGAAAGCTTGGGTGTGACCAGGAATTGTGGTATCACCTGAAGGACATAAGGCAAATGTCGGTCAACGCCCATCTGCAAACACATATTCTAGTCCAGGGCTCACCAACTTTTCAGACCTCAGGGATCACTAAATTCATAATTTTAAATCCCGCGGACCACTATAATATGATCTGCCTAGTGACCGGCTGGGTGGGCGTGGCTAGGTGGCCTTGTGACTGGCTGGGCGTGGCCAACTCGATGTCACTCGTGTTGAGGGGCGTCTTGACGGCCTCTACTCGCCCCTCCCCTCCCAGCCACTCCTCGCCTCCTTAGGGCCCCAACAGGAAGCAGTTGTTGGAGCTAAGCAGCCACCACGAGAAAGAGTTGGCAAAACAGCTCAGTTCAAATTGGATCTGGCCAAGAAAGAGGCTAAGCAGAAGCACCTCACTGAGGACTAGGAGCATAGGCTTTCCATGACAGTGACTCAACTTACGACAAAGCTCACCAGGGCTACTTATGTCTCAGATTTAAAGTTCTGGCAGTGAAGGACACACCCCAGTCCCAATGGATCAGCAACTGGACCGCATTCGCAACCGTTTGCCCCATCCTGCAGTCACATGCTTAAGGTCTTCTGCTTAGGCAGTGGGTTGGACTAGATGACCTCCAAGGTCCCTACCGCTCTTACGTTCTAAATAAACGCTTCGCTTTCGAAATTTTTCCACTCTTTTTTTTTTTTTTACTCACTGCGAGGTGAAGTCCGGAAGGGCAGAGTATATTTTTTGAGAATGCGCAACATGGCTTCGTAATTATTCCATGTGTCGTGTGAAACCAGAAGATCTTGATGGCCAGGTAAAAATTTGATCAGAGCCGAGCAGGAGCCAGAACCAAGAGCATCCTCCTCTTCAGGTTTATGGAAGGCTGATTCCAAGTCTTCCAGATCACCACCCAGCTGGAACAAGCTAGAAGAAGAAGGAGGAGGAGGAGGAGGAGGAGGAGGAGGAGGAGGAGGAGGAGGAGGAGGAGAAGGAGAAGAAGAAGGAGAAGAAGAAGAAGAAGAAGAAGAAGAAGAAGAAGAAGAAGAAGAAGAAGAAGAAGAAGAAGAAGAAGAAGAAGAAGAAGAAGAAGAAGAAGAAGAAGAAATCACAGAATCACAGGGTTGGCTGAAAGAGACCTTATCTAAGCTATCTTGAATAAGTAAAGCAGGATGGTCATTGCAGGTAACCTGGGTTAGAAGGATTGCTTAGTATGAGACAGGCAGTTTGGTCTAGTGGTTAAGGCAATAGGCTAGAAAGTAGGAGATGGTGAGTTCTAGTCCCGCCTTAGCCATGAAAGCCAGCTGGGTGACTTTGGGCCAATCACCAGGAGACAGTGAGTGCTAGTCCCTCCTTAGCCATGAAAGCTGGCTGGGTGACTTTAGGCCAATCACCAGGAGATGGTGAGTTCTAGTCCCGCCTTAGCCATGAAAGCCAGCTGGGTGACTTTGGGCCAATCACCAGGAGACTATGAGTTCTAGTCCTGCCTTAGTCATGAAAGACTTTGGGCCAATCACCAGGAGACAGTGAGTTCTAGTCCCACCTTAGCCATGAAAGCCAGCTGGGTGACTTTAGGCCCAGTCCCCCTCGCTCAACGCAACTCGCTCCACAAGGTTGTTGTGGGGGAAAAAGGGAGGACGGAGGAGTATCAGGTATGTTCACAGCCATGAATAAATAAACAAGGGATACAAATAAACAAATAGCCTTAAAAAACAAAACAAAAAAATCAGTAAGGTATATATTCTCAAAGGCAGATTATTCCAAAGTAGATAAACCTGCAGGATTATCCTAAGAAGACACCATACATGAATAATAATAATAGGGATTTCCAAACTTGAAATCCATGATTCCTTTCTCTCTAAAAGATTTAATAATGGAGTAACAGAGTTGGAAGGGGCCTTAGAGGTCTTCTAGTCCAACCCCCTTGCTTAGGCAGGAAACCCAACACCACTTCAGACAAATGTTATCTCCAATCTCTTCTTTCAAATCTCCAGTGGTGGAGGAGCACCCAAAACTCTCTGGAGGCAATTTGTTCTACTGCTTAGTTGTTTTCGCTGTCAGGAAATGTCTCCTTAGTTCTTAGTTTACTTTGTCTCCGCCAACGAAGCAAAACATATTTTTCTGCTTGGTTGTCCATCCGCAGCCTGCCCTGCCTGTTTATGCAATCCCAAATTCCTGGAAAGTTTTCAGGGCCGAGAGAAGGTTGCTTCTGACCCCGGAGTGTCTGCAAAAGGCTCCATCGTTATCTTGGAAGTGATAAGCAGTTAGATCAACACAAGAAACTTTTAAAACATCTCCAAATCCAAGGAAGGCTGCAATCTGCGGGCGAGAACGAGACATTCATCTCCGCAGGACATCGAACATAGAATAACAGAATTGGAAGGTACCTTACAGGACTTCTAGTTCAACCTCCTGGCCTTGCCTGCGGAGACCCTATATCCAGGATGGCGAACCTATGGCACGCGTGCCGGAAGTGGCAACACAGAGCCATCTCTCTGGGCACGCCAGCCGTTGCTTGTTGCTCTTCGGGCTTCCGGCGTGCACGCTCATCTTCACGCACACGGGAGTGCCGGAAACTAATGAGCAGCTCCCTGGGGCGTGTGCGTGCGCAGGGAAGCTGAGCTTCCAGTTTCCGGTGGGTGCATGAGCGCCAGCCAGCTGGTCTTCGCACATGCATGCACCAGGGGTGGGTTCTAAATTTTTTTACTACTGGGTCTGTGGGTGTGGCTTATTATGTGGGCGTGGTTTGATGGTCATGTGACACACAATTCTTTAGGATTGAGCAGAGGTACTGGTCTACCAGGCTTTTAACTGCTTGCAGAGCCATACTGGTCTACCTATTTGTTTTTGGAGAGCACTGGTCTACCACCACACTGCCTTTTACCGCTGATCAGCTGTAGGGCGGCCTTTTGAAGCGCCGCGGTGAGAGTTTTAAACAGTTTTTTGCCGCTCTGCCACCACCGAGAGCATCGGAAACCGCTTTCAGGCAGCTTGGCCTCAATTGCCAATCTACCACCACCGAGCGGTTTACAAGGAGCGGAATCAGTTGGGAGGCTTCTTGGCTTCTCAATTTAAAGCGACAGTGTCTTGTTTTTTTCTCTCTCTCTCTTCTTTGTCAAGCGAGCCCTGGTTTTTTCCTTCTAGCCGATCAGCTGGGACTCGGGAGGCAGTGAATAGATTGGGGGCGGGGCCAGTGGTGGGTTGCCCCCGGTTCGCACCGATTCTATAGAACCAGTAGTAAAACCGGTGGGAGGTTCTGCCCACTGACTCCGACGTCACCAAAATGCTTCTGCGCATGCGCAGGCCCGTTGCAAACCGGTAGTAAAGGTAAATAGAACCCACCCCTGGGCGGGGCCAGGCAGAGGTGGTATTTACTGGTTCTCCGAACTACTCAAAATTTCCACTACCGGTTCGCAAGAATCGGGGAGAACCGGTAGCAACCCACCACTGGCATGCACGCCAAAACCCAGAAGACCAAGTGACTGGCGTGTACGTGCACACCGGAAACTGGAAGCTCAGCTTCCCAGTGCACGCATGCGTGCCGGGGAACTGCTCTTCCGGTTTTCGGTGCTCCTGCACATGTGCACCGAACACTGCCCTATATCATTCTTGACAAATGGCTGTCCAGTCTCTTTTTGTTTTATGCCAGTGGTGGCAACTTTAAGACTTGTGGACTTGGCACTTTCAAACAAGTGGACTTCAACTCCCAGAATTCCCCAGCCGGCATACTTCCTCCCCTTTCCTCCCTCTGCTTTTCGAAAGGTACTTACAGAAAGCCGAAAGGAGCGATGGAGAAGCTGCCCGTCGGGAAGGAAATCTGACCGTTGTACCCGTCCTCGAGGCCTTTCAACTGCAGCAGAACAAGGCGAACCTGGAAATTTGGAGGGTCAACAGAGAAAGAAGACATCAGTCCCAGGAGATGGCCTCGGAGAAAACACGTAGCAAACGTTAAATAAAACATGAGCCAAGTCTGGGAAAACGGGTGAGAAAGAAACTCAAGATTGCCCTGCCTTGATTCTCTTTGGTATATAATTAAGAAAAAGGGATTTTCAAGAGTCTGTTGTTGTACCTTATACTATGTTAAGGTTTTGAGGTTTAAGATCTGGCCAACTGTAAAGCTGATGCAATGAAGATGAATCAGGATTGGTATTGCCGGTTGTAGACGATGGTCACCTTTAAGACAGGTGGACTTTGTGGTCATTAAGTCGAGGACTACTTAAATCCATCTTTTACCCTTCCCCTTCTGATTTTGTGGGTTGTAGAGATCACTCCCCTCCGGCCGCTGTGGGTAACCCTGGGAGACAGCCCTGAGAGAGATATGTCTGGAATGCGCTCCTGTATTTGGCTGCCATGCTGCTTTGTCGGTTTCCCATCCCCCTTGCCTATGGCAACGCGAGAGCAGGCCAGGGATGCTTTGCGAGTTGACAAATCAATATATATTATAATTATGTATACAGTCTTTTGGCTGTATTGTTTAAATTATTAAGAGGGACTGTTTTAAATGATGTATATATATATATATATACCTGATGCCAATACGCAGAATCCATTCCTGCTTGTTCGATCTGTTGCTCCATCCATTTCAAGTTGGCTTCAATGTAATTTTTCAACTTTTGGCAGTAGTCCGTCTGGTAGGTAAACGGGCCACAGTAGCTAACCATCGTGTTCATCCAATGCATATATATCAGCTGTAAGGCACAGAATAAATAAATAAATAAATAAATAAATAAATAAATAAATAAATAAATAAATAAATAAATAAAAATAAATAAATAAATAAATAAATAAATAAATAAATAAATAAATAAATAAATAAATAAAGGCAATCTACAAAGCTAAATTCTTCCCAGAAAATCCTGGGCTAGAATTCTGATTTATACCCTTACTCATTCAATTCAAGTTGTGGTTTCTTTGGTGGATCCCGCTACGCCTGCACCGCAGTGGTGGGTTTATTTATTTATTTATTATTTATTAGTTCAATTTATATGCCGCCCTCCTCCGAAGACTCAGGGCGGCTTACAATGCACTTATAGCAATAGCCTTCATTCTTTTGTATATACCTGCTTATTAGGGCTTTTGCACGCCCCCCCTCCAATAAGCGGTGTTTCTACAAAGTCAGCTTATTGCCCCCACAATCCGGGTCCTCAATTTACCTATCTCGGAAGGATGGAAGGCTGAGTCAACCTTGAGCCTGGTGAGATTTGAACTCGCACGAATTGCAGGCAGCTGGCAGCTAAGTGCTACATAACAGCGCTTAGTCCGCTGCACCACCAAGGATCTGCACGAACCGGTTGCTTCCGGTTCGGACCGGTTCACAAGAACCGGTAGTAAAAATTTGTAGTAGTTCGGAGAACCGGTAATAACATTGGCTGGCCACGCCCCCAAACTGGTCCCCGGCCCGGTCGCTGTTCGTTTTCCCCACCCACTTCATCAGAGGCTTTTTTTTTTTTTTAACTTTTAAAAGTTAAACTTTTAAAAGGTGCACTAGCGTGAGGCACAAATGGTGGCACTGAACTCAGCTGCGGTTTTCCTGGCTGTGAGCTCACCTGCTCAGAGACTGCGGCTTCAGCCAGCCCAGCTGCATAAGCCTGAATGCTGTCGTTGTATTTCTCGTTGGTGGTTAAATCCAGCACTGCCCATCTGGGAGAAAGAGAGAAAAAAGAAAAAACAGCCAAGAAGTTAAAGAATGCATTCCTCTCCATTATCATCTCCTCCTAGTACTACTGCACCAACACCCCTTGGCTTAATTCCGAATGCGGTCTGACCAGTTGCACGTTCCAAGCTTCTAGTCCCCAGCGTGAAAACTTGTCTTTTCAGTTCTCGCGACTGTAAAGTCTTCCCACGCGCATCTAGTTGGTATGCGGGTGTATGTTTTCCTCTTCTCTCAACTCTGTGTGTGTGTGTGTGTGTGTGTGTGTGTATTTTAAAAAGGCAGGTTTTCATGCTGAGGACTAGAAGCTTGAAACCAATACAGAGTGTAATGGGGAGGCCGTGTAAGAAACTATGCAAGCAAAATTGCTATGCCAGGAAAAATACAGGACATGTATATTTTGCAGTTTTCCTCCCTGGTGCAGTGGCGAAATCCAAATTTTTTTACTACCAGTTCTGTGGCCGTGGCTTGGTGGGCATGGCAGGGGAAGAATACTGCAAAATCCCCATTCCCACCCCACTCCAGGGGAAGGATACTGCAAAATCTCCATCCCCACCCCACTCCTAGGGGAAGGATACTGCAAAATCTCCATCCCCACCCCACTCCAGGGGAAGGATACTGCAAAATCTCCATTCCCTCCCCACTCCTGGCGGAAGGATGCTGCAAAATCCCCATTCCCACCCCACTCCAGGGGAAGGATACTGCAAAATCTCCATTCCCTCCCCACTCCAGGGGAAGAATACTGCAAAATCTCCATTCCCACCCCACTCTGGGGCCAGCCAGAGGTGGTATTTGCCGGTTCTCCGAACTGCTCAAAATTTCCGCTACCGGTTCTCCAGAACCTGTCAGAACCTGCTGGATTTCACCCCTGCCTTAGTGTATAAAAATTTGTCTCTTTACTTTCATAACACAGTGGTAGCCCCTTAAATTTCTGACCAAGTCTTTCGATGTGCATCTAGCTGATTTGTGTGGGTGTGGGCGGGTGTGTATGTGGGTGGGTGGGTGTTTTTTTTTTCTTCTCTTCTCTCAATCGCGCATAAGTCTGTCTCTCGCCTTTCCTGTGCCATTTTCCTTGCCGAGTTTCTTTCGGATCGGTTGCAAGTTTCTAGTCCTCAGTAAGTAATCATCCATAAGGAAAACCCTATTGAATTGGCTAGAGTTTCTTCCCTCTCCCTGCTGCTAAATCAGTCCCTTTTGACATCTCTTCCCTTGACTCATGCCTCCTTGTCTTCAAATCCACATTCAAGGTTTTACTGTATCTCTTAAAAATGTCCTTGGGTTCTTTCTTTATCCTATAATATCACTCCTTTAACTTCTTCCCGGCTTTTCTCAGTCGAAAACGGATAAAAAGGTCAACATCGGCATCTAAATCTCGCCGAGTTAATTTCTTAAGGAACTGTAGCAACACAGGAAATGAGCCAGCATATCACAGAATTGCTGAATCAAAGCTTTCCGTAGCTTAAGGGACAAGAAGAAGGGGGGGGGGAAAGATAAGAAAATTTGCCTATTTTTTTCCCCCCCAGCAAACTTGAATTATAAGAACAGGTTTTGTCATCCAAACCAGTTATTCAGTGAAGGGATGAATATTACGATATCAAATATTAAAACCTATTTTTTTTTCAGTTAGCCGGGCTGTCCTGATTTTATGGTGGCTTTTTTAAAATTTGAAATTGGTTTTGAATTGAAATGTTTCAAACTTTCCAAACTTTATTTAATTATTTTAAATCTATTTTAACTTTTGTGTACAAATGTTTTACTCTGGCTGTTCGCCGCCCTGAGTCCGAAAGGAGAAGGGCGGTGTAGAAATCTGAAAATAAATAAAATAAATAAATAAATAAAATCAAATAGAGCAGGGGTCTCCAACCTTGGCAAGTTTAAACCTGGCAGACTTCAACTCCCAGAAATCCCCAGCCAGCAAAGCAAAGCAAAGCAATTCTGGGAGTTGAAGTCCGCCAGGCTGAAAGTTGCCAAGGTTGGAGACCCCTGAAATACAGAGAGGAGATATATATATATATATATATTTAAATTTGATTTATATGCTGCCCTTCTCCGGAGACTCAGGGCGGCTTACAATGCGCTAAGCAATAGCCTTCATCCTTTTGTATATTTATACAAAGTCAGCTTATTGCCCCCACAAACTGGGTCCTCAATTTACCTACCGTAGAAAGGATGGAAGGCTGAGTCAACCTTGAGCCTTGGCGAGATTCGAACCCTGCAGTAATTGCAGGCAGCTGGTCTTAATAACCAGCTTAATAACAGGGTGCCTTAGACCACTGTACTACCAAGGCTCTATTTAGGGGTGGGGGAAGAGGAATGGGCTTTATACAGGTAGTCAGATAACGTAACAGTAATAGAGTTGGAAGGGACTTTGGAGATCATCTAGTCCAGCGGTCACCAACTGGTGGTCCACAAGAAAATTTCGGCTGTTAAACACAGCATATTCATTTTTGTTTTTTTTTTTGGCCGTTCACGGCATATTCAGTTTTCTACACCATTTCCTGACAAACGGCCGTCCAATCTCTTCTTGAAAGCCTCCAAATTCTGGAGAAGCAAGCTGCGTTTTTAGCGCACGAAATGGTTGCAAGAATTAACTGGAGGACCCATCATCCCCTCTCAGGAACTGAGGCCAGGAACTGGCCCTTTAAGGGAGGCTTTTGAAGTGGAAAGGCTGAATAACCTCTAACCAGATCTGTGGAGGAATTTATCTGCTTCGTCCCCCCGAGTGCCTAACTGTGTAAACACAACCAAGGTTAAAAAGGAACGGAAAAAGTAAATATCATGCAATTTGTTTTAGACCTCAAATGGCTGGAGGATCCTTGCCTTCCACTCACCCACCCCCAAAAAGAAAATTGTGCCCCCTGTTTTCTTCCCAACAACCTTGTTGTGTCTTCTCCGGGATTTCCATAAGCATAACCTTTAACAGTTAACAGAGTTGGAGAAGGGACATTAGAGGTCATCTAATCCAACCCCCTGCTCACCCAAGAGACCTGTACTAGGGATTCGAACTGCCGAACTGCCGACCTTTCTGATTGACGAGCTCAGTGTCTTAGCCACTGAGCCAGGCAAAACCTAGACAAGCTCGGTGTCTTAGCCACTGAGCCACCTAGTCAGGCACCTTCCACAGGACTAGCCTCTTGTATGTTCGTTTTTAATTGGGTCTTACGGATCACGGATTCAATAAAACTCAGGGTGAATTTGAGATTGTTTTTAGAGTCATTGCAGCAAGATTATGCTAGGCAAAAGGATGGACGAATCGAGATAGGCCCAGGGTGGAAGAATAGATAGTAAAAATAGCAGAAATGGTAAACTGGGCCTGCTTGATCAGAGAATAAATACCAAAATATTTCTTTTTTTTTTTTTTTTTCTATTTTGACAGATAGGGATGTTTGCTGAAAGAAAAGCAAAAGGTGTTCATAATTTATGGGTTTGAAAACGAAGGTGGGGGCTCGGTTTTAATTGTGAGTCTCAATGCTAAATTTGAATTTTAATTGCACGCCGCCCACAATTAACTCTGCAGAGTGAGCTGGGTGGCATATAAATTTAAAGAATAAATAAATAAATGAAGACTTCTCACTTAAGAGAAAAGAGAGACAATAACAATGTAATTATGGGAAGGTGATAGAATTGAAAAGATTCTCACACCTAGGCTGCCCGTCATCTTGGTTTTTGATTTTTTTAACTTTTTATTCTAAGGTTTTATTTTTTTTTAACCCTTTTCAACTTTTTGTTCTACTGTAAGCCACCCTTCTTTCTCCCCTTCATTTATTTATGTACGAGTTGGATGGGCGGCACTGAAATTTAATAAATAAATTTGTTAAAAAACCCTAAATTAGGGTTTAAATTAAATTAATTTAATTAATTTAACCCTAAATTTAAAAAAATGGTGACAGCAGCTAGGTTATTGATTGGTCAATATTGGAAAAGGGATGATATGCCTACAATTCAAGAATGGACTTTGAAGATGGCCAGTTTTGCAGAAATGGCGAAGATATCAGCATATTTAAAAGACCGGACTCAGGAGACTTGTGTATGGGAGTGGAAGAAATGGATAGATTATGTGCAGAATAAATATCAAACTAGGAAGTATCAGATAGCTTTTAGCTGAATGTTGTGTAGAAATACATAGTATATAGGGGCCAAAATAGCATATTGTTATGTAGAAATGTATAGTGCACAGGGGGGAGAATAGAGGGGTGGTAAAGTATGATATTTATTTATTTATTTTAATTTGATTTATATGCCGCCCTTCTCGGAGACTCAGGGCGGCTTACAGTGCGTTAAGCAATAGCCTTCATACTTTTGTATATTTATACAAAGTCAGCTTATTGCCCCCACAATCTGGGTCCTCAATTTGCCTACCTTAGAAAGGATGGAAGGCTGAGTCAACCTTGAGCCTGGTAAGATTCGAACCTGCAGAAATTGCAGGCAGCTGTGTTAATAACAGGGTGCATTAAACCACTGTACTACCAAGGCTCTTATAATACAATGTGGACGGATTTCACCTTGGGGAAGTCATGGGAGGAGGGGGGGGTTAGGGGGGGTTAAGGAGGGATGGGGGGGAATGGGGGGAAAATTGGTATATAGAGCCTTGATAGTACAGTGGTTACGCACCCTGTTATTAAACACAGCTGCCTGCAATTTACTGCTGGTTCGAATCTCTCCAAGGCTCAAGGTTGACTCAGCCTTCCATCCTTTCTAAGGTAGGTAAATCGAGGACCCAGTTTGTGGGGGCAATAAGCTGACTTTGTATAAATATACAAAAGGATGAAGGCTATTGCTGAGCACATTGTAAGCTGCCCTGAGTCTCCGGAGAAGGGCGGCATATAAATCAAATTTAAAAAAAAAAAAAAACTCTCTTACTGTTACCTCCAAAGTACCCTTTTCCCAAAAGGCTCCCACAATTTTGGCCACTCCTTCTCCAACAGGGGGTTGGATTAGATGACCTCGCAGGCTCCCTTCCTTCCAAGGCTGTGTATTCTATGATGTCTTTAAAAAAAAAGGTCATTAATATATTAATATACACAAAAGATTAAATGTTAAAGTAGGATTTATTATATAGTTTTAAAGTGGAAGGTTGTTTTGAAATGTTGTAATAATATACAGATATAAGTTTGGGGGAGGAGAAAAAGGGCAGATTATTGCTAAATTGGGAGTTATCATAATATTATGCTAAATCAGAAGTTATCATACAATGTTATAGTAGAATGTGTTTTTTTTTTTTGAAATGTATGGTTAAAGGGGGAAGTAACAATATTAATAATATATTTCGTAAGCAAGGGTCAGTATTTAGAGGAGGGAGTAAGGGGATGGTAAAATATTATGTATTATGTAATCTGTTATGAATTTTTTTTTTTTTTTTAAATTTGATTTATATGCCGCCCTTCTCCGAAGACTCAGGGCGGCTTACAATGTGCTCAGCAATATTAGGTTTTTGTTGTGTTGTGAATTAGGTTTTTGTTGTGAAGAAGTCACAGGGGGGATGGGTGGTGAGGGGGGGGTTAGGGAGGAGGGGGGGAGAAAAAAGGGGGAAAAATTTGTATTTGAAAACTTTTTCAATTAAAAAAAAAAAGGTCACAAAACGCCTGCGGTGGGTGGGTGGGTGGCTGGGTGGGAAGCCGAGCGGAGGGGTCTCCGAAAGCCCCACCGCCACCACTTACCCCACGAACCTTAGGATGGGGATGATGAGGCTATCCTCCTACCCGTTATCCTGGATCCCGTCGGTCAGGTTGGCCCAAGCGACGGCGTCCGGTACCCATCCTTGGACCACTTGCAGCTCCCGGGACACCGGGTCCAGCAGCACGGAGGAGCCGCGGGTGGCTTGCCCAGGCGCGTTGGGGAAGCGCGGCGGAGAAAAGGCGGACAGCGCCCCGAGCAGCAGAAACGGCAAAATTGGCAGCGGGAGCCCGAGCCGCGCCATGGTTCCGTCCGGGCTGTCCTTCCCGGGTAGGACGATGTGCCAAGCCCCGGCTGGCGTCGGCTCTGATGCAGCCGGAGGAGGAGGAGTCCCCGCCGCCGGCCGAAGCCACAGCTGGCCTCTGGCCGTGCGCTTCCAACCAGCGCCCCGCGAGGGAGCCCCGAGCTCGGGGAAGGCTTGGCCGGGCAGGAATCGGAAGGGGGGGGTGGGGGAGCCAGACTTGCAAGGCGGAGGAAGCCCAGGCTTGCCTTGCCCCCCCACCCCCCACCCCCCATCACCAGCCCTCGCCTCCACCCCTCGCACCCTAGGACCCCCCACCCCCAACCCCAAAGCTTGGCACAGAAATTTATAGTAAAGGAAATGCATTATTGAATTATACATGTATTAACTGCAGAGAAGAGAAGAGAAGGGAAGAGAAGAGAAGGAGGAAGAGGGAAGGAGAAGAGAAGAGAAGAGAAGATTTATAAAACTTTTTAATAAAAAAAAAGAATAGGAAGAGAAGAGAAGAGAAGAGAAGAGAAGAGAAGGTGGAAGAGGGAAGGAAAAGAAAATTAGAAGAGAAGGGGAAGGAGAATAGAATAGAATAGAATAGAATAGAATAGAATAGAATAGAATAGAATAGAATAGAATAGAATAGAATAGAATAGAAGAAGGAAGGAGAATAGAATACAATAGGAAGAGAAGATTTATAAGACTTTTTAATAAAAAAAAGATTAGGAAGAGAAGAGAACAGGACCAAAAATTTTTTTTTGACTCAAATGTAACAATGGATGCTAGAATGTGATTCGGGGTGGAATTCCATGCTTAAAAATGTTATTATTAGCTGTTTTTAAAAATCGAGTGTTTTTGCTACCCGAGGAAGAAAACGTATGATGCCGCGGTCAGAAAAAAAGCGGCCCAGGACCAAAAATATTTTTTTGACTCAAATGTAACAACGGATGCTAGAATGTGATTCGGGGTGGAATTCCATGCTTAAAAATGTTATTATTAGCTGTTTTTAAAAATCGAGTGTTTTTGCTCCCAGAAGAAGAAAACGCGTGATGCCGCGGTCAGAAAAAACGCTGCCCAGGAACAAAAAATTTTTTTTGACTCAAATGTAACAATGGATGCTAGAATGTGATTCGGGGTGGAATTCCATGCTTAAAAATGTTATTATTAGCTGTTTTTAAAAATCGAGAGTGTTTTGCTCCCAGAAGAAGAAAACGCGTGATGCCGCGGTCAGAAAAAAACGCTGCCCGGGAACAAAAAAATTTTTTTGACTCAAATGTAACAACGGATGCTAGAATGTGATTCGGGGTGGAATTCCATGCTTAAAAATGTTATTATTAGCTGTTTTTAAAAATCGAGTGTTTTTGCTCCCAGAAGAAGAAAACGCGTGATGCCGCGGTCAGAAAAAACGCTGCCCAGGACCAAAAATTATTTTTTTGACTCAAATGTAACAACGGATGCTAGAATGTGATTCGGGGTGGGATTCCATGCTTAAAAATGTTATTATTAGCTGTTTTTAAAAATCGAGTGTTTTTTGCTCCCAGAAGAAGAAAACGCGTGATGCCGCGGTCAGAAAAAACGCTGCCCAGGACCAAAAATATTTTTTTGACTCAAATGTAACAACGGATGCTAGAATGTGATTCGGGGTGGGATTCCATGCTTAAAAATGTTATTATTAGCTGTTTTTAAAAATCGAGTGTTTTTTGCTCCCAGAAGAAGAAAACGCGTGATGCCGCGGTCAGAAAAAACGCTGCCCAGGAACAAAAAAATTTTTTTGACTCAAATGTAACAACGGATGCTAGAATGTGATTCGGGGTGGAATTCCATGCTTAAAAATGTTATTATTAGCTGTTTTTAAAAATCGAGTGTTTTTGCTCCCAGAAGAAGAAAACGCGTGATGCCGCGGTCAGAAAAAAAGCTGCCCAGGACCCAAAAATTTTTTTGACTCAAATGTAATAATGGATGCTACAATGTGATTCGGGTTAGAATTCCACGCTTAAAAATGTTATTATTAGCTGTTTTTAAAAATCGAGTGTTTTTGCTCCCAGAAGAAGAAAACGCGTGATGCCGCGGTCAGAAAAAATCTGCCCAGGAGCAAAAAATATTTTTTTGACTCAAATGTAACAACGGATGCTAGAATGTGATTCGGGGTGGAATTCCATGCTTAAAAATGTTATTATTAGCTGTTTTTAAAAATCGAGTGTTTTTTGCTCCCAGAAGAAGAAAACGCGTGATGCCGCGGTCAGAAAAAACTCTGCCCAGGACCAAAAATTTTTTTTGACTCAAATGTAACAATGGATGCTAGAATGTGATTCGGGGTGGAATTCCATGCTTAAAAATGTTATTATTAGCTGTTTTAAAAAATCGAGTGTTTTTGCTCCCAGAAGAAGAAAACGCGTGATGCCGCGGTCAGAAAAAAACTGCCCAGGAGCAAAAAAAATTTTTTTTGACTCAAATGTAACAACGGATGCTAGAATGTGATTCGGGGTGGAATTCCATGCTTAAAAATGTTATTATTAGCTGTTTTTAAAAATCGAGTGTTTTTGCTCCCAGAAGAAGAAAACGCGTGATGCCGCGGTCAGAAAAACGCTGCCCAGGAACAAAAATTTTTTTTGACTCAAATGTAACAATGGATGCTAGAATGTGATTCGGGGTGGAATTCCATGCTTAAAAATGTTATTATTAGCTGTTTTTAAAAATCGAGTGTTTTTGCTCCCAGAAGAAGAAAACGCGTGATGCCGCGGTCAGAAAAAACGCTGCCCAGGACCAAAAATATTTTTTTGACTCAAATGTAACAACGGATGCTAGAATGTGATTCGGGGTGGAATTCCATGCTTAAAAATGTTATTATTAGCTGTTTTTAAAAATCGAGTGTTTTTGCTCCCCGAGGAAGAAAACGCGTGATGCCGGGGTCAGAAAAAAATCTGCCCAGGACAAAAAAAATTTTTTTGACTCAAATGTAATAATGGATGCTACAATGTGATTCGGGCTGGAATTCCATGCTTAAAAATGTTATTATTAGCTGTTTTTAAAAATCGAGTGTTTTTGCTCCCAGAAGAAGAAAACGCGTGATGCCGCGGTCAGAAAAAAAGCCGCCCAGGACCAAAAAATATTTTTTTGACTCAAATGTAACAACGGATGCTAGAATGTGATTCGGGGTGGAATTCCATGCTTAAAAATGTTATTATTAGCTGTTTTTTAAAAATCGAGTGTTTTTGCTCCCAGAGAAGAAAACGCGTGATGCCGCGGTCAGAAAAAAAGCGCCCAGGAACAAAAATATTTTTTTGACTCAAATGTAACAACGGATGCTAGAATGTGATTCGGGATGGAATTCAATGCTTAAAAATGTTATTATTAGCTGTTTTAAAAATCGAGTGTTTTTGCTCCCAGAAGAAGAAAACGCGTGATGCCGCGGTCAGAAAAAAAGCGGCCCAGGACCAAAAATATTTTTTTGACTCAAATGTAACAACGGATGCTAGAATGTGATTCGGGGTGGAATTCCATGCTTAAAAATGTTATTATTAGCTGTTTTTAAAAATCGAGTGTTTTTGCTCCCAGAAGAAGAAAACGCGTGATGCCGCGGTCAGAAAAAACGCTGCCCAGAACGAAAATTTTTTTTTTGACTCAAATGTAACAACGGATGCTAGAATATGATTCGGGTTGGAATTCCATGCTTAAAAATGTTATTATTAGCTGTTTTTAAAAATCGAGTGGTTTTGCTCCCAGAAGAAGAAAACGCGTGATGCCGCGGTCAGAAAAAAATCTGCCCAGGAGGAAAAAAATATTTTTTTGACTCAAATGTAATAATGGATGCTACAATGTGATTCGGGTTAGAATTCCATGCTTAAAAATGTTATTATTAGCTGTTTTTAAAAATCGAGTGTTTTTGCTCCCAGAAGAAGAAAACGCGTGATGCCGCGGTCAGAAAAAAATCTGCCCAGGAGCAAAAATATTTTTTTGACTCAAATGTAACAACGGATGCTAGAATGTGATTCGGGGTGGAATTCCATGCTTAAAAATGTTATTATTAGCTGTTTTTAAAAATCGAGTGTTTTTGCTCCCAGAAGAAGAAAACACGTGATGCCGCGGTCAGAAAAAACGCTGCCCAGGAACAAAAATTTTTTTTGACTCAAATGTAACAATGGATGCTAGAATGTGATTCGGGGTGGAATTCCATGCTTAAAAATGTTATTATTAGCTGTTTTAAAAAATCGAGTGTTTTTGCTCCCAGAAGAAGAAAACGCGTGATGCCGCGGTCAGAAAAAAATCTGCCCAGGAGCAAAAAAATTTTTTTGACTCAAATGTAATAATGGATGCTACAATGTGATTCGGACTGGAATTCCATGCTTAAAAATGTTATTATTAGCTGTTTTTAAAAATCGAGTGTTTTTGCTCCCAGAAGAAGAAAACGCGTGATGCCGCGGTCAGAAAAAAAGCTGCCCAGGACCAAAAATATTTTTTTGACTCAAATGTAACAACGGATGCTAGAATGTGATTCGGGGTGGAATTCCATGCTTAAAAATGTTATTATTAGCTGTTTTTAAAAATCGAGTGTTTTTGCTCCCCGAGGAAGAAAACGCGTGATGCCGCGGTCAGAAAAAAATCTGCCCAGGAGCAAAAAAAATTTTTTTGACTCAAATGTAATAATGGATGCTACAATGTGATTCGGCTAGAATTCCATGCTTAAAAATGTTATTATTAGCTGTTTTTAAAAATCGAGTGTTTTTGCTCCCAGAAGAAGAAAACGCGTGATGCCGCGGTCAGAAAAAAAGCCGCCCAGGACCAAAAATATTTTTTGACTCAAATGTAACAACGGATGCTAGAATGTGATTCGGGTGGAATTCCATGCTTAAAAATGTTATTATTAGCTGTTTTTAAAAATCGAGTGTTTTTGCTCCCAGAAGAAGAAAACGCGTGATGCCGCGGTCAGAAAAAAAGCGGCCCAGGAACAAAAATATTTTTTTGACTCAAATGTAACAACGGATGCTAGAATGTGATTCGGGATGGAATTCAATGCTTAAAAATGTTATTATTAGCTGTTTTTAAAAATCGAGTGTTTTTGCTCCCAGAAGA